AACACAGCCTTATTACTGATATCATTATCTGCGTTCTGAAACAGACCCTCATCAGTAAATCTGATCTTTACTCTACCAACATTCATTTGGAATCTATAGACCCTAGTCCAGTGACCATCAACTGGCGGCCCGCGGGCCACATCCGGCCCGTCAGACATTCTCACCCGGCCCGCACGGCGAGGGTGACTGTGGCATTGGCGGAGTGGTTAGTGCGTTCGCCCCCCACTAATATATATTTTTTACAACGTCTCGTGAGTAATGTGCAGTACCGGAGTCCAACAGAGAGGCAGCAGCTGCGGGACAGTAGCCTTCCCTGCCCTGAAGAAGAAGTGAAGAGTCTGCTTTATGCGCTCCGCAGTAGTCACGCTGCGAGGCTCCGGCGAGTTGACAGTACATGAGCGTGCTCCACTAGCAACCCCCCCCCCCCCCCCCCCCCCCCCCCCGGTCAACAACTTCTATATATATATAAAAATAGCTGGCCCCCGAAAGTGTCTCTTGGATTAATTTAGTCCATCATTTCAAGACCCCCGTCTTTAAGCTGTAGGTCCTCTGAATATAGACACTCGTCTTCAGTCTATAGACCCTAATCCTTGGGAATCGATTTCTCTTTCATACGACAAGAAAATGCCTTGGCTTCTGATCCGTTTTTGAACAATTATAATGCCTTCATAGTGATGAAATAGCCTGGTATAACCCTTGGTGGAAAACCACTATGGCCACATGCTTAGATCTATTTGAGTTGTTGACTATGTCATTGGGTCGTTTTTTCTATTCAATGAAGAGATCCTTGTCTATAATCTATAGGCGCTGGTATTTTATCAACTGACTCCAGACCTTCATCTCTAAACCCCTCACTTTTGAATCTGTACATTCAATATGGTCAAAACACTTCCTTTCTTTTTTTAAATAGATGGAAGTTTATTGTATTGTGTATCATTTATAATGTGCTTGTCGTAAAGTATTTGAACCCCATTCAGTTCATTTGAATGTGTGAAATCAATATAAAACCAATATTAAACAAATCCAATAATATACTTTGCCTTAGATACCAGATAATGAGACTTGAGTGGTACAGTCTGTATCTTGAGCCACTTTGAAAGACTTCAGAAGGACAAGGAAATGTGTTAAATTCCCAGGTTATTGAGTAAGAAGTATTGTGCTTCCATGTGTACTGACATCTTTCTGACATGTCGACTCACTGACCCACATAATATGATGAAAGAACCATTTCCCCATGAACCGTTTGACCATTTAGAAAGTCAGAAAGGATACGGAAACAAGCATGTCCTTTTTAAAGGTCCCCTATTATACTGTTTTTCATCAATATATTTGAGGTCTCAGATATATACAAAACATGTCTCTGAAGTGTTTGGCTCCAAACACCAAACAGATCATTGCAGCATCCCATAATCCCCTCTGTTTCAGCCCTGTTTCAAAAGTGCTGATTCTCTGTCTGTTACTTTAGATGAAAATAAGGAGCCCCTCCCCACGCCCCTCTGAGAGAGATTTGGTTAAAAAGAACACAATGGTGCTCTAGGAGGAGATTCAGGTGATAAGGTTGGGGGGGGTTTCCTTGGTTGGTGATTGGCTAATGGTTACACAAGCCAAAAAATCGTTATGACATCATAAAGTGGCCAAAATCTGATCAGGTCATTTTCAGACAGGTTTTTATATAAATGGATCAGGACAAAAAGAGAGAGAATCTTTTTTCCTGAAACTTTCAGAATCTCTTTACACAGAGGGGACACATGTTGATTTATAAAAGACATGAAAAAGTGGATTTTGCATAATAGGTGACCTTTAAATTGCGGCTTTAAGGTGAACCCTGACTGGTGTAGAGTCGGAGGAGCTGTTGCTGGCTGTGGCCTTGTGATGGAGATTACTGCAGATTTAGATCATGGACTTCAGAGTAGAGGGAGCCAGGTACTATACGTTAAGAGCAATCAGCTGAGAAGACATGGACACACACACTGTTGTATGTGTGTGTGTGTGTGTGTTGGCTGTCATCTCCATGGAAACTCGGCGGAGAAAAATAAAAGCTTTTATGAGCTGTCGTGCTGCGTTTGCTTATTAGAAACCATCTGCGGTCATTCTGAAACTATCCATCAGATTTGTGTGGGCCACTAGAGCCATGACTGCACAACCAAATGAAATCACACACACAAGTAAAATAGAGGTCTATTAATGGAATAATTTTTATGATTCAGAATGGAAGTGTGTTTTAAATTAGCAATGCCCTGGTTACCTTAACGAAAAGCCAATGGAATTTTTCCATAGGGTTTTGGATTATTGCACAAAATAAGCTCCCTGGCAAACACATGTTTCTGATACTTATGCATTTAAAACAAAAATGCCAGAAGTAAAAAGCTAAAGGCAAGCTACACCACAGTTGCATGACCAAACAATGATTCTCTACGCTTTCTTTTTTATGGAAAAGCCTTTCTTCTTAGCGTCATTTAAGATGGATTGTAAATATTTGCTAATGTGCATGTTTAAACTCAACAAAGCTCAGAAGGCGTGATTTTCTTTAGTGTCCTAGAATCACCTCTGCAGTCTAATTTAGGAACTGCTTTTCAATCAATAAATGATTCAACCACATGTTTACCCAGCACGTAAAAGGTTACAAATTCACGATAGGGGTATTTGCTATTCTTTTAAAGTGGACCTATCATGCTATATTTGACTAATATAGTGTAGGACCATACCTATATAAGGCATATTTATACTTTTTTTTTTTCAAAATACCAAACAGATCATGCATTTTAGCCATGCCTCATTTTGCTCAATTTGACAATTTCTAGCTCTGGGCAGATTCTGTGAGAACAGCACCACCTACAGGCCTGGCATATGTACTACAGCGTCTCCAGCGCTTTTGAACGGCAATGGCCGTGGCTGTCTCCTCCTGATTGGTGGAGTTGGCCCAATAGCCGTAGCGCCACCGTCCTGACGTCAGGACAGTGTTCAAATCTGGATCAGTTTTTATCAGATCCGTTGCAGCCCCTTTTTTAGAGATTTGGGTATGGAGGAAAATAGAGAGGGTTGTGTTTTCTGACACTTGGTGAGTTCCCTGGAACACCGGGGACACATATTCATGTATAAAAGACGTACAAAAGTGCATTTTGCATGATAGGTCCCCTTTAAAGTAAAACGTAAAAAATATTTTCAGCTTGTATTAGCCACAGATCTTATTTCAGGCCCCCAAAAAAATAAAAACTTTAAAAACACCCATTGACTTTAAGAACAATGAACAAAATCGAGCAAAGATGCTAAAAAAAATCTACGTTTTTTCGGACCATCTTCCCTTTGAATGTTACAGAAATGATCCTTAAAAAGGTCAATTGGTGCACCAACTTCTCGGGAAAACATGTCAAATTGTTCTTCTAAAGATGTCCCCTTTGAGAATAACTGCCAGTCAGCGTGCTCACTGGCTAAAACCACAGAGTCCCTGGTGCCAGAGTAGCCATGTTCACGTCGGATTACACGGTGCAAGGGCCCGTCTCGCCACACGGAGCCATGTTTGCAAACCACTGAAGCGTTGCCAAACAGACATGTCTTACAGAGAGCCCCTTAAGACAACCAATCACAGGTCTGAGCTCCTGCAAGGCCACCACCTGTCCTTTAGAGGACACGTAAAGTTCAGAACATGCAGCCTAAACAAACTGCAGCTGGCTCTCCAAAACACCTCATTTAAAAACACTGTTGAATAAGTTATGAGCTAATAGTTGGTGTTGAGATAAATTGGTGTTACTGCAGCGTTAGCAAAAGTCTGGGACATGTGATAGAGTTCAGTATAGATGGTTTCATTACAGAGCAATAAGGAAGTCATAACCTGTTAATGTTTACTGCGCTGTATAATGCAGAGGAGTGATGTCTGTATTGTATAAACTGTTCTTTGAAAAGTCCACATCACAACTTCCTGGAGTTCTCACCTACATCTTCAGTGGATGGAGTCATCACACGAGATGGGTATTGAACTTTAGTCAAGTGATAACAGTGCTTCTATATGAGTACATATATGTTTACATAGTTTTATCTAATGAATGTACAATTGAGCTAATGTCAGCTGATGATGAAGACCAAAAGATTGTTGATAGCCCTAGAAAACGCTGGTGAATTAAGAGGACATATTGTGCTCATGTTCAGGTTCATTATTGTATTCTGTGCCTTTACTGTGACATGTTGCCATGCTTTAATGTTCAAAAAGGTCTTTATTTGTTTCATACTGCCCTCTTTTCACGCTCTGTCTGAAACCAGAGCCCAGTCTGCTCTGATTGGTTAGCTGGCAGGCTCTGTTGTGATTGGTCAACCTCTTAGAAATGTCCCGCCCCTTTGCCTGTTACGTACAATGTGTTGGATGCTAGCCAATAAAAGCGTAAGTGTAACATAGTGATGTCATTATGTTATAAAGTTCTGGCGTGAACTTTGAGACAAAACCCTATTTTTACACAATACAGGAAATAGAAAATTCCAAAAAGAATAATAGGGCAACGTTTTTTTCAGACAAATAATTTAAATGTTAATTTTAAGGTCACTATACCAAGTTTGAGGATTGCATTGGTGTTCGGCCCTGTGGAAACTAACCAAAGTTTGGGGGGGGATAATAATTTAGTGAAAACAGTTTTTCTCATCAGGAAAAACTGAACCTTATTGTCTCATTTTGTTATTTTCAGCCAACTACATTTTAAGAGAAAATGAAATACTCGCTCCACATCATGAAAAGGCACCAGCCAAAGTTTAGTTGTGCCAGTCACAGTTTTTATTTTCTTTATCAAGGTGCCAATGAAGAGAAAATAAAATGGGGCAGGGGATATTAGTGTCGCCATGTGTCTCCAACAAAAAAATATGTTATTAACCTATTTGTATTTGTTTCTCTCAATGTTGATTTTCATCATTAGGACAAAACCTTTATCACTACAAAAAAAGAATATTGCCAAATCAAAGTGGTGTTGACTTTGATAGATAATCGCTAATTCTCCTTTCTCTGATTGTGTCTTCTGCAGCTCAAGATCTCATTCAATGAGTCGAGTCTCCAGAGTACGTATGAGTATCCGTCGGAGAACGGCGCATGGGACAGTGGGGACGAGGACGAGGATGAGGACGAGATGCACGATGAGAAGGTGTCTGACGAGCAGCCGAGCATGGTGGGACGCATCCACATCCCCCGACCCAGCTTCTCCATCTCCCCAACGCACACCAACAACAGTAATGGTGAGAACAAATGAAATGCTTGGGTCATTTGATGTTTTTGTGGTAGACATGCAGGTTAGATGTCCAGTTTTAGCAGAATAAAAATGTCTATCTTCTGTCCAACACTTCACCACAGCTTTGGGACAAGTTGCTGGGAAATTCCCTGCGAATAGAAATATTCATGGTCCCCATAGGATGATCCCTAATGAATTTGGCAGAACTCTCAATATACCTCTGAAGCAAAACTCTCTATTTCTATATTCTAGTTGTCTAAAGCTAGTCCACAACAATGTATCTTGAAGTCTCATGGCTAAGTGACTCTTTAATGTCCCTGCTGATTGTCATGGTCCACAGAGGGTGAACCCTATAACAAGTTTTAACTGGTAACTCTCTGAAAGTTCTACTTGTTATACACAAACTTCTACATTTGCTGGCATCATTGTTATTACATTTAAGCACATTCATGCTCCTCAGAGGATGAATCCTTTCCCTTGTTGACATCTCACCAGCTTTCATCTTTCTATGGGTATAAATATACAAATTGTGTTTAAAACATTTTTTTTCTGGGACAGATTAGATCAAGTAAAAACAACTAAGACAGAAGGGGCACTCGGAGAGCTCAAACCTCCACCAAGACCAAACGGCATATCTCGCAATGTTAATGAAAAGGACGAATAATTGACTATCTGCATCGTGATTTGTATAGGCTCCGTAATGTTATAGGTTATTTCTAGGCTAATGCCCAAGTTTCGTGAAAATCAGGCCAGTGTTTTTTCCATAATCCCGCTGAGAAACAAGCTAAAAACATTACCTCCTTTGAGGATGTAGTAGTTAGGAAATAGATAATCAGAAGCACTAGCAAGACAAAATATGGATAGGACCATTTTATACAGTGGTAAAAATAGATAAAGAAGAACCAAAATAACCATAGACGGCACGATCAACAACATCTGAAGGAGAAATGTGCAGCAAAACAACATTAGATTGTACTTTTATTATGACCCAGAGACATAATAATAATAATAGTAATATGATAGAAGGTCAGTTGGGGACACCAGACAAACAACCAATAAGTCACTTCAGTTTTATGAGGGATGAAATCAAGATTTATTATTTACCCCCTAACTACCAGTTACGGCCAATAATGACCAAATAAAAAGATAGCATTGGAAACTTAAATGACACCACTCCTAAATGGTTTGATGATAGATATGTTGGATCTTGCAATAAGTAAATACGGATACTGTTTGACTTTATTATAGTATTTGTAGTGAGTTTACATGAAGCAGCCCGTCCCTTAGCACCTGCATTGTAAAGGTGTTATAAGGACATGTTGTGAAATAAATGTTTGCTTCTGAGTAATAGAAACAGGGAAACAGGAAGTAGTCTGATGAGGACACTGCTTCTTTATTAAAGAAGCATCCCTCCCCTCCTGGTGAAAGAGTAAGCAGGGTGTCCGCGGGGTCTTAAAAAGTATTCAAAGTTGATAAATCAATTTAGCGGAAATTAAGGCTATCAAAAAGTATTAAACGGCATTTTCCAAGGTATTACATTTTGTAGCTTGTTTTCAATAAGTATATAAATTGTCCAAAGAGGTTGTATTCTACAGTTTGCCTGAATGTAATCATTGCGTAGGTGTGTAGTGTGATTCTGTGTAGTTTATTTATGGCATCCCGTTGGATTTGACGTCACCTAAACAGGACATCATCGCACACTCAGTGCTTGATAGCGCGCGAAAGTCCGTTTACGCCGGTTGTTAAACAACATCGTTATGGGGAAATGCAAGTCTGCGTCCAAATGGTTGGAAGATAAGGAGGAAGGACAACCAATACTGTATATAGTAAATGTGAGGTAAAGTGTGTCGCCAATGTAACCGGTTAGATCTCAAAGTGGCGATGAGGTCTTAAAATGTATGGAAAGGGTCTTAAAAAAGGTCTTAAAAGGTATTACATTTGACTTCAGGATTCCTGCATATACCCTGAGTAACAGACACACAACATCAGATATGATGACAGAGACCTCTACTGGACAAAGTGTGAACAGCATTTAATAAAAAGTGTGTAATACAGTTTCAGAGCTATTTCTGTTTCCATTTTCATTCTCTATCCGTCAAAAATGACTCAAAAATATCTCATTAAATGGTCATTTCTCCAACACATTAATATAAATGAAGGTTTAACAGAGGCAACAACAACTTGTCAGTAACACATCATGTCTTATTGTTGTGTGCAGACCTTTCGAGCTACATTCCCAAGCACTCTGTGGACTTCAGCGCCTGGCAGGAGCACAAACATGAGGACAGTGTTTACCAGGAGGAGAACGGCTCCCAGACGACTCAGATGACGGAGGAAGTGATGGTGAGAGAGGGGTTTCAATATAACAATTTAATCATTAAGACAATAGAATATGTGTTTTACTGGGGGCATTTTCCTCCTTAAGGGTCTGTCTCTATTTTGGCCTTTTAATCATTTTACAGGTAATCTTATATTAAGTTCTGAGGTTGAACTTCCAGAATTAAAAACACACAAAACTCAAAGCCTCTGACTAAATAAACTGTATCTCACTTAACATTTTAAAATGTCTCTGAGTGAACACAGTTATAAACTTCCCATGGTTAATAGAATAGTATATTGTAAGACGACCACTTAAATCAATTTCTATGTAAGATAAGAGATAAGATAAGATAGGACTTTATTTATCCCGAAGGAAATTGTTGTGCCAGAGTTACAAAAATACAATAAACACAGCAGCATAATAATACAACTGTCCACTATCAGTGCAGTGAAAAGAGCAATTAAAGAAACATAGACAGTCAAATAATTAATGTCAAACTGTACAGTGACGAGCACTATTGAGTAGTGCAAAAAAACGTAGTGGCAGATTCGTAATTGCACGTTATTATTAATTATAATAATATTGCACATGTTATATAGCAGAGAGTGTTTTATAAGTATATTGCCATAAAAAAGGAATATTAAAAGGTTTAAAATAATGACAACATGATATCTCTCCTCCTCAGCTGACCCCCGCAGACAGCTCCTCTCTGTCGGACTACAGCAGCGAGCCGGCTCTTTACTTCTGATCAGCGGACCAACAGCTGTCCAGTAGCATCACAGCTGTGGGACCAGCCTCTAAAAGCACATCGTCCTGATCTCACAGGCAACACAGTATTTAGTTTTTCGGCTGTTTCCTGCCACGGAACCGCCACATGCTACGCTATCAACCGCATATCAGAGCAGATTTGCCAGGTTTCGATTCCCACCTTCCTCCTGACCAAACAAATTGAAAAAACAAAGCAGCTGGACTGTCTTTACCCTGCGATCCCGGACGGTTGATCTGTCCACATCGTCCCTCACAAAACCTCGAAAATTGCTTGAAATCTATCTAGACTGGCCTCTCCAAACCCCCCCCCCCCCCCCCCCCCCCCCCCTCCTGTCATTATCTGCTTCCAAGTCTTCAACGTTTGCCTCCGGGTTTTTGGGAGCTTAAAAAAACCATACTCCTTACAGAGAACAGGAGGCCGCCAGTGGCCACATGTAGGTGTCGCCACGGGAACAGTGTTAGCATGGAAACATGTCATTTAGGACGTGGAGGACGCGTCTGCTTGTGTAGATCGCCGGCACACTCAAACACACAAAAACACACAAAAAAATTGCAAAAGGGTGCCACAATTGTTTTGTTTTTGTACCTGCATGTGTTGATTTCAGCCAACAAGCTTGGCTGTACTGTAAAGCTTCCGTATGCCTTTTTAGTTTTTGTATGTCTTCTGGCAAACTATGCTGTATTGAAGCTGCAGCAGAAGAGTCTTAACAGCAAGCAAACTTCAACACATTTTCCCCCATTCGTGACGAGGAAGGGGAATTATGCACCCCATGATTACACGCTTGAAAAAAAGTGACCTTGGCCAATAATGTCTGTACGTCCGTTGACGAAATCAAGATCATCATACTGTAGAATGTTTCCGTATATCAAGGTGTCTGCGTCCCGTTTAAAAAAAGCTGTTGGCCAACTTTTTATCCTGGCTTCTCGTGTATTTATTCCCCGCTTACAGTTGAAGTTTGCATGTCAGAGACCTGCTCATGTACAAAACCACTTTTGTAAAGATATCTGCCGGTGCGGACGGACGTTTTTTTTGTTGTTTTCCAGTCGGACCTCATGTACTTTCACATTCCACGGAGGAAGAAATCGGTCCTTATGATCATGTTTGTGAGAGCGAGTGTGTTTTTGAAAGGATATGAAATGATTTTTTTTAATTAAGATTGTTTTTTATATATAAGAATGCACCATGTTTCCAGATTTTTTTAACGCATAATGCCAAGTGATTAAAGTGTTGCTGTAACGGCCTCACATTCGTTCTGCTCCCGTCCCTCGGCCAGTATTGTTGTACAGTTTTCATAAGATTTATTTCTTACTCTCTTTTTCTTTCATTTCTCCAATCAGATGACATTTGTTCAGTCCTCGAAGGTTTGTGCTGTTAGGAGACGTTTCGTCTTTGTCGGAGGAATTGTAGGAATTCTATGTTTTGTCTGGAGTCTTGGATGTTTAATGTCTTTGCACTGTCTTGCTTTTAGCCTTGTTTTGCACCTCATGAGAAGGCGACAGAGGATATGTGCACTTAAAAGAAGTCTAGTTGAAGAGTTTTGTTTCCAAACAAAAGCCACTTTTTACACCTGTTATTCTGCACCCAGTGATTGTATGTCAGATACAGGACATGGGTAAGGCAGAAAACATTTTTAGAATAGAATTGGAATATAACTCTTCAATTGGATGCGATGAATGCACTGCCGATGAATGCCATGACCACTCTTTTTACTCTGTTTGCCGCAGCCTTGCAACATCAAGTCTTATGATTGTCGTCCTTGTCTCTCGGACCACAAACTGTAGCGTTCCACACAGGTGAGGGCCTCATGTTTGGCCTAAAATGAACCCAAAATCTGTTTTTTGGTCAGTTGAGCTGATCATTCAAAGACCATACCAGTGTTTTGCAAGTTTTAGCCCATTTTATTACAAATCCCATATACTGTACTCCATCTATTGAGCAAACCGTACGACTGTGGTTTAAGAGTTTGAATGTATTTTTTAACCGAAAAAGATGTCCATTGATTTCCACTCTATTTTATACGGTATGAAAATCTACTAGAAGCTTAAAAGGTATACCCCCATAATGACCAACAAAATATCAACTTGTGTAAAATTGAATTCTTGATGACAAAAGTCCAAAACTGGAATAAATCTTGATGAGTTAAAGTAAACGGGCCGTGTTCAACAAAAGGTGACTATATCAAAACATCAGATTAAAGACACTGCCTCATAAACAACTGTCTCTTAACTTGTAAAGGTGAGCATTGTCTCTGTTTTGGGCAAGTATTTTTAAAAGCAAGGTTTCAAACTCAAGTTTTTTGAGTTTGTAAAAAAGTGTTTTGATATAGTTTCGCTGTTGTGAAACGTGGCTTCCATTTACTTCCATTCATCAAGAATGTTCTCCATTTTCTTTCGCCCTTGGGCATGCAAGAATAACAAATGATCTTGAAACAAGATGAGGAATCTGAATAAGCATTCTGTTCTCTTTACTCAATGCCAAAGACATATTCCAATCCCTCACAAAATTATGTTAACGTTCAATATCCTGCCCTTAAACTACATTACTATCATTCATTAGCATAATCAAATCAAAATCAAATCAAGGTTTATTTATAAAGCACATTTAAAAGCGATTTTTGGTCGGGCCAAAGTGCTGTACATGTAATAACTACAATCACATAAAAACACATTTCTATAATCACAATAAAAGACAATAAATAAAACACAGGGAAAAGTCAGGAGTCGTGCTCCGCTTTGACTAGAAGGCCAGGGAGAAGAAGTGTGTCTTAAGAGTAGATTTAAAAACCCCTAGGGTCTGGGCCGAGTGTTCCAGAGCCTCGGGCCAGCTGCTGCGAAGGCTCGGTGCCCTCTGGTTTTGAGCCTGGTCTTGGGCACTATCAGCAACAGCTGGTCAGCAGACCTTATAATGTAGGGTCACTTACGTGTAACTGTCAAAACTCAATGCAGACTTGATGTTCTGGTTGATGGATTCCACAACTCAGAAGTCTAATATTACATTTTCATACCATGAGGAAATGAATGGAAACCAATGGCTGCTTGAATCAAGGGAGGAAACACAATCAGCCAAAGTGGTCACATGATCTGTAAACACACTGGTATGGTTCTTAACATTGAATTTGGCCTCACTTGGACATGCTGTGGTGCTAACAGTCACATGACAACACACCTGTGGATGCATCTGTGCTGACTGCTGCCTTCAATGTCCAACACCCAGAAGAGGACGTCCACTTATTGTGGGAAACTTTCCTTGGACTGAAGGACCAAAAGAGGCAGAGTGAATTTTGGGAATCCCCACTGATCGTCTAAAATAATCCCGGCGAGGACTTTTTCTTTTGACCACTATTGGAACTTCTGAAGTGTACATGTGTTTGCTATCTGCCTCCTGAGCAGTTGGTTGTAGCGCCTCTGTGGTAGAAGCTTCTCCATCTTCTCGTTTACTTTACTTTTCCCCCCTCGTCTGTAAATCTCCATCGCAGCAGATGTGCTTACTGTAATTATTGTCAACGATTTGGGCAAATAAAACAAAAAAGTGATGTCATACTTGTACAAATGAAAGCTCAATAAATAGAATACTTGAACAAATGTAAATACGTGTCCTTTTCCTTCCTGGGGAACAACATATTTGCTACTAATCGTGAGTTGGGTTTTGCCAATAAGGAAGAGTCATGGGAGTGATAAGAAACATTTATTAGAATAAGTACGACAATAAATCAATTTGATGTTTCATGAAGGGTCCAAAGAGGGGTATAAAGTTAAAAGTGCAGAGTCAAGTGTTGCTGTTGTGGTCCTAAAGAGAGTTTGTTGACCTTTCCCGGCCACTAGTGATCCTTCCTCCGAGGCTCTGTGGCTTTACTCAGGTTTCCTGTCTCCTGCTTCAGGACGCTCAGGAGAGAGTGGGAGCTCTCCAAGATCTATAGGGGGAAGAAAGAACATTAAATATACTGTAGATACGTACAGGTAGTGTGGTGTATATACTGTAAGAGTCATTAAGAAGGGGCCCAGGCACTGCTTGTTGTTCTTTAATAAGAGCAGCTCTGTGTTTCTTTGCAGTGATTAGTGGGAGAGCGCAGGGAGGTCAGCGTCAGTAAGTGGGGAGATGAAACTGCTGAACAAGGACAACATCATGGTGCGTCACGGAAAGAAAAAAAAAGACCGTCCTGAAAGACAGCAGTCGGTCCATAAGCCTGTTAGCAATAAACATGTGAACATTGTGAGGGTTCCTATGGAAGCCCCAGATATTATGTTTAGACTTTAATTGTTTCCCAGATTGGGGGACTCAGATTGACAGTACGTTGTATTTGCTAAAGCTAAATTACCAAAATATTCAATTTACAATAAAAGGAAACATGGATAAGCAGAAAATGTCCATATTTGGAAGGCTGAAAACAGCAAGTATGTGGGATTGTTGCTTTAAAATGACTTGCATCGTTTTTCTTTATAATTTATTAATTGTAAAACTCATTTATTTGATGATTGTTTATGATTAAATCATCAATTTATCATCTCTCATTACAGCTCTAAAACCGACAAGACAAGCTCCACAGATGTGCATTATACTGTATGAAAGTATTTATTTAATTTCTGATATAACCAAACGCATACTTTGGGGACTGGTTTTTCTATGAAGTGGAAAAAAAACCCTGACGATTCGTCTTTAAAGAACATATTTCCCTTCAACTTCAAATGTGAATTTTTTAAAGACTGAGCTAGAAGAAAAGGTAAAACCCAAGGGAATATCAACCTTTTATAACAATGTTTTGGTCAATTATTACTTATCAATTACACATTTCATGGACACAAGTAGCTAAAAGAACTAATATATTTGTCTATCTTAAAAACAAATATATAGATATTGACATAATGAATGTTTCTGCATGTTCAGTGCTGCTCAACAAGAAACGTATGTAGATCAGTCACCACGATAGAGTCTATGGTCCCCACACACACCTTGGTGTACGCAGCCTGGGTCTCTGCGATGGTCTGGTCGAAGTTGGCGCGTGCGGCGAGTCTGTGAGCCAGGCTCTCGTTGATTCGGCTCAGCTTCTCTGTGAGGACGCGGACGTCGTGCTGCAGACGATCCTTCTCCTCCTCCTCCTGCGTGATCTGACGGTTCAACTCCTCCCGCTTGGAGCACAGGTCCTCCATACCTGACGGAGACAAACACAGGGTTATTACACCAGACTCACTGGATCAGCTTAGTGACAAACCATCCTGCATGATTATGAGATTTGTAATGCTAAATCACACAAAGATTTTTAGAATAATGGTTTATTATATAGTAGCAGGTTCATCAATAATATGGATTCAATGTTTTCTTTTTCTTTAAGAGTTACCTTGAGTGTTTTTCCTTTATTTACCCATTTTATATCATTAAGTTAACGGATGTCCCCTGTTTGAATCACGTTAAATTACATATTTTATTGATATCTCATATTATATTCAATGCATAACAAGGCAAGATTTGAACCAATCAGAAAGTGTGTAACATGCCTGGTGTTTTGCAACCAGCATCTGACAGGTGGCCCGTTTTACTTCAGTCATGAGTTTTTCTCAACTAAAAACACATTTGGTTTTTCTGTGGGTGATCAACACATTAGTCAAACCGGCTCCAGGTCATACATATTATAGCTGTTACACCTGAGTTGCACAATTGGGCCTGCAAGAGGTTAAAGGGTGATCTCCAGGTCATGGATAACATAATCTGGAACGGTTAATCAGATTGGACAGCACTATCCAGTCAAAGAAGCTTCAAGAACAGTTCAAGGAGAAGAGAAAGCTGAACACGTGTGAAACTACAAAGTGAGTTCTTTGGACCTAAAGTGACATTTACATGTGAAACCTGCTCTGGGATGCATTTCCGAATTCTGCACAACGTCAAAACTGTCACCAGCATCACGTTGTTTCAAAAACGACTAGTGTTAATATCCCACACATAAGTATTTAGAGTTATTAAAAAGATGAATAAGTCACTTACACTTGACCAGTTCATTGTTGTAGTTCTGCAGAGCCGCAGCTTGTTGGCTCATGTTGGATTTCAGCTGAAGTCCGCCTGACTATAAGCTTCAACCGCGGCTACACACCGCTTATTATGCTAATGTTAAACACTTTATATGTTATTTCTCGTGTCCCAAAGGTTATCATATGTTTCGCTGAGTTAAATCCGCCCGGGTTCACACATGTATCCGCATAGAAAAAGCGCCTATCCGCAGAAAAGCGTTCAAAGGCGGGTTAAGAGCGGTTACGAGGCGGGTTTCCCGGACAACTGAAGTACCCGGCAGTTCTTCTTCTTCTGCTTCTTCCTCACTTCATGATTCTTCTTCGTTCTTCTTCGTCTTCTTATATTTAGGTGCTACGTCCCTAGCGCCCCCTTTTGACCATTCTGTGAATATTGTCTAGTAGTAAAATAATTATTTTATATACAGTCTATGGATAGTTATTATACTGTCTGTAGGAGCCGTTTGTGTTTGTTGTCGGCGCAGGGTGTATAAATAGGGTCATAGGTTACTGGAAAAAGCGCAGGACACAGGAATAGAGAGAGCAAACTGTTCTAAGCAGACAGATGCTCACAGCTACAACTCATCAACCTTGGTATCCTAATTTGTAACAACTCAAACCATAAACAGCAAACCAAACTGCATTCAACGACTGGAAATTCATCTGTTATGTGTCTGCATAAAGATCACTTAGACCCTCACCTGTGTATTAATGGCAACCAGAATATAGGACATTTGAACACTTAAATTGACATTACACTGACTGCGGTATGATATTACGTCAAGGCACTTGTATTTGTTTGTAATAGACAGTAGTGGAAGAATTACTCTTATATGATATCACATATTGAATATTAATCCAAGTCAGGCATTACAATGTCTATTTTTGTGAAAGTACAAATACACATTTTTGAAAAAGAATTGTATTTTGTATATTTATTATTGATGCATTAATGTATATCTAACTTAAATGTTGCAGCTGATCGAGGTGAGAGTCATTAATAACTTTCTATACGGCTACTGCCCATAGCTAATTACTGTGTGTATAGGCTACAGATAATAATTCCTTCCACATGGTCAGAAGCCAATGTTATTCTCCCTTTTTCTTTTCAATATGAACATGTATGTGAATTAATATGATTGCATTCAATGTATTTGAGGTTACCTTAGAAATGGCAACTAAGTGTTTGTTCATAGATGGATATACTCAAATAACTGAGAAAAATGACTCCAATATGTATACAAATGTATTTTATAAAGATAAATTCATTGCAGTCTTGAAGAACTGAAGAAACAGAGGAAATGAAACAGGCATCAGGCCTAAACACAGGTGAGGAGAGGAAGCCAAACATCTGAAATTGGTTATTCAGTGAAGACTTATTATTATTATTATACATTATAACACTTATTTGTTCTATTCGAGTGTATTTTATTGTATTTGCATTTGGCTAATGGGTTGTATCTTTCAATATTTACAAGATGATTATGGCACCTTTATGTTTTTGATTTCAGCATGTTTCAATACTATGTGTTATTATCATGACATATGAATATATTCTGGATAATATAGTCTTATTAGTTATTATTAAAACAAGAATATGACTGACAGTCGTATCACCAGGTGTGGTATAACACCGTCTGTTAATTCTATATATGTGACGTAATCGCGAGTGGGCGGAGTTAACGTCCAGGCACCATGGCTTCGGTTGGACCCGAGGTGAGTGTGTGAGCGTTACTCTAAGCTTGTTTTACTTTTACACTGTATCCATGGTTTTGGAAAATGTGTTGCTCCCCGGGAACGAAAACCCCGCTTGTAAACAGAGCGAATTGTCGGTGTAGAGGTTTCGTTTTGTCGTGAATTGGCCGCTGGAAGCCCGCAGTCTCTTGCTTTTGTGCTGGACCGGAGGGCAACTGAATGTGCAGGAAGATGCTGAACCCGGGAACATGAATACTCCAAGTAGGCGCGTTGTTAGCTTTGTGTCGGGAGTTATTTATACATGTTCCAGCCTCAAGTCAGTGTCCTGCTTCTGTCCAGTTTTAGCGGTTCAAAATCAAACTGAAAATATATATGCATGCGTATTTAGCCGACGTTATTCACGGCTTTAGCTGTATCGTCTGTCACCGGCTCACTTGATGCTAATGTGTACACTGATGTTTAGCTAGCTGCTAGCCGCCGTGCTAGTTAGCAGACAGTGCACACTTACTCAAATCCACACAAAAGCTGATAATTGGGTTTAACATGTTTACTTAAACGATAGAGAGTAGTCTCTGTGTAGTTTGTAAACAATATGTCTAAATGGTCGGCTGATAATGTTATCACCCGTTATGCTTTGCAGTCTGTTAGCTACATGATAATTGATGCAGTCAAATGAACCTTGGCAGTGCTGCCTCCCACTGTAAACATATGGCGCCAGCTTTTGAACCTGCTATGAGGCTTTTTGCATTGTTATTTGTCCACATTACACTTTTATAAGAAACTACTCTTATGGTTGCCTTTGTTAGCTAGGTCCTGGTTTACAGTCGGCATAAAGCAGTCTAGGGCTGGCTGTAACAGGTTGAATTGTTGTTTGTATGAAGGTTTTATCAGTAAAGATTAACTGATTTACTTATGACTTAGTTACATAACCACATAAATGTATCACTGCTACAGTCTTTGTTTCTTTATTCTTTTTCGAGAGATAAGATGCGATTTTGTTCAGCAGAGGTCGCTCGAGCAGCATTCAGATATCTCCTCAAAAGAGAAGGCAGTATGTTGAGGTGAAGGAAGGTGTGGGACACTGAGGTATGCAGCCACTTCCGTTTGCACTCATAGCTAAGTGTTGTGTGATCTGTTGATGCATTAGACACGTAGATCAATGGGTGGCCTGTCATAAAGGTTAGTTCCTCAAATTACCATAACAGTTCTCCAGGTATCTTTGGTTTTATCTGGCCCTGTTTTAGTTGTATCTTTTGATATATGTAGATATATGTCTGTTAAAATGCTGCCTCCTTTCAAATACAATAGAGTAGGGCTGCACAATTAATTGAAATTGTATAAAATCACAATATTGACAAGTGCAATATCCAAAGGGCAGGAAGTAGGAAGCAGGAAGCATAGGCTAAATATGTTAACATACCCACTTAAACAGGTAGGGTAGGGCTGCAGAGATGTCTGGGCCTTTGAATATTATTTTACAGATTTAACAGAACATATTTGTTTGGAACAGATACTCCTAAAAAAGTATAATAATTAATGTATATGTGTTTCAATGATGATACGAATTGTCATTGACAAGTGATAAATCCCTCCTTTTTCGTGGATCATATTGCAATTGCAATACAAGTCTAAACAATTACAATTACTTATATTTGTTTACAAATAATGCAACCCGATATAAAGGGCAAATTGATTTAGACTAAAGCTTAGAACAAACAGGTTTTTATAAACCTTGAAATCACCTCACCATTGTCTGTTTTCACTGGAACTACTTTCTCCAAAAAAGTAGTCCCAATGAAATCCGTTGTCATTAAAGTGGCAGGATCCTACTTCATTAATTGATCAATTAATAGATACATGTATTGACTGAACATGATTGCCCAGAATGTTGCAATCAAAATATGTATCAATCAAAGTTTTAGTTTTTCAAATGCACAATTAAATTACTTATTGTTTGATTGAAAACGTTTCCGTAGTTTATAACACAATGCAAATAAATGTTATGTGCAGCCCTTATGGCTAGGTCTATGCCTATAACCCAATATAAACCCTCATCTTGGAGCATCACTTTATTGCTTCCCCTCACTGGCCATTTTCTTTTTTTTATATTTGGTGCAGAAGATTGTGTCAAAGCCTGCTCTTTATTTCAATCAGCCTCTACTAAAGTTGAAATAAGGGCAAGTAATTTCTTACACACTGAATTTACATTGCCAATTGTCATTTGCAATACCACAAATTACCATATTTTAACAAAAAAAGGTTTGCATTTCATCTTTGAGGTAAGGCATTGTTATCTGCACAACATCAAGCAGGTGTTTCTGATTTCCTGGTCCCTCAGTGTTCAGGATCTCGGAAAGAAAACACAGCAGGAAAAAGGCTTGGTTGGATGTGCTTTTGGCTCCATTATAAGGATGTGTATTGGGAAAAATGTGGTGACATGATACTCATCCACATACAGGGGTTAACATTCTAGATATTGCTATTCTGTAAGCAAGGCAATCTGTTCGCATTTTAAGAAGGACATTAAGTCTGATCTTGATGTATTGGTCATTATAGTCTCAGCTGAAATAAATGTCCCCTTGTGTCTCCGAAGAATTGTATGGGCATTATGGTGCTGGCTGACAAATGACTATGTGATAAACAAAGAACAATCACAAAAATGTTCTGATCAACGCTTAGAATAGGTATGTAGGTGACCATTTAATTAGGAGACGTGCATCAGGTATAAGTGATAATATGCGTTTTGTTTGATCAAAGAGGTAAAGGGGCACATTCAATTCACTTTTATCACAATTATTATCTTCCATGACTCTCAATCAATTTGCAAAAATCAATACGTCATAATTAAGGTTATAGTTTAACATTTCTGTTTTGAGGAAAAAAGCGCTAAGCCTTTAGATTTTTATGTGCGTTGACTTTTGCGCGTTGCCAGAAGAAAAGTCATGGGATGACTGGAAACAATTTTTTTTGTTTCGTTATTAGGGGATCTTAAACCCTCATGAAAACTTCCAAACACATTGATTGATAGCTAAATATAGGAATGGTGAAAACACAGCAAAGAAGTGACCTATGGTTTAAGAGACAGGCTTTGTGTTTTAAGATTGCTTCGGTGGTGCACTCCGACAAGTGGGAGTGTTCAGCTTGAAACCCAAGAATTTAAAGACATTCAATATTTCTACCAAATTCTATCGCAATCCATCCAATAGTTGTCAAGATATTTCACTCCAGGTGAAAAATGTTAACCTCATCGTTAACCAAATCGGTTGGCTTTATCCTCCGTGAAACATGAGCGACTTTGTCATGGAAATCAATCCATTTGTTTAGATGTTTCAGTGTGGACCAACAGCTAGTTTAACATTGCCTTTCATAAGAACTTGGGCAAGGTTGTTGGCAAGGTTGTTGGCAAGGCCTCGCATTAGTCATCAGTTTTCATAATCTTAACCTTTCTCTTCATTGGTTAAGATTAAACCTGTTCATAATGCTTATCTTTGTTACAATGCGTAAACATTGAAGCTAAACTAAGCACAATGCTGTAGGCTCCATGACTTTCACATTTTGTTATTGCCAGCTCCAGGGTTGTATTGTGCTTAAGTTAAGGCTTTATCGTGTCCATCAGCAATAAGCTGTTGTTTTCTTTGCTTATGGGTGGCCTCCCTTTGTGTGTTGCATAGTTCATAGAGACTGTTCACTGGCTCTTTACCTCTCTTTTATCCACATTATCTGATTTCTTTATAGCAACTCTGCCATGGTTGGAGGGAAGAACTTATTTCCCTTATTTTTGTGCATTGATCCCTGAAAGTAGATAAACCCGAGCCTGTCTGCCAGGTCAAGGTTGTTTCTCATTGTTTCAATCGGCCAACATCTGCATTCCAACGTGGCTGTAACATCCCCTGAGAAGGAAGCACACCCGTTTGCAAAAATACTATTCTATTTATCCATGAGTTGTTATAAAAGGCATGAGTTGTTATAAAAGGCCTCATTGTGGTAGAGGATTTGCTGCTTCTTCTCTTGTCATTGGATGTTGTACTGTTAGTCAGACAAAGATTCATTTTGGAACTTATTTCAGGATTTTCCTCAGTCAGTTACTTCATTTCTTTGAATTCAATATCTTTTTCATGGCATGGCGGTGTGGGGTTTTGCTGCTTCACTGGCCCGAGTCTCAGAGGAAACAAAAGACTCTCCTGTTGAAGGGGTTCATATGTGGCCTGATGTCCGCGATTGAAAATGTTTGGCTTCATCAGGTTCCTCACTGACATCCGGTTTGCTTCTCGGGCCTTCACTCTTATTACCTCCTCCATTTCCCCCCCCCTCCTTCTTCTGTTGGTGCTCCTCAAAAGCCTATGCATACAAACACACACGGTTTAAAAAGCCCTTTTCCTCTCAAAAAACTCATTGACTAAATGATATGTCCATTGTTCACAAAGCAGCAAAGCAAATGGTAAAATGATCCTGCCTTCAAAACTATAATTGACACCAAAAGAAGCGCGCACCAGATGAAAACACTAGCATTGTATTTCAACATGTCTCCAGTGTAATTGATATTATTTGGATAGTACATGTATGGCGTGTCCCTCCTAGTGTGATTTCTTCAGTGGCGCGGTAACCTTCTAGTTGAGAGAAATGGAGTGGCGTTACAGTGAAAGCTGACTGAGCATGCTCTGTGGAGACCCTGTGAAGAGGAGGACCGACAGAGGGAGCCACCAGGTCACATGACCGGCGAAGTGAATGTGCATGCGGGGAAAGAAAAAGGAAAAGACGAGCAATCTGTTCGACACATTGCCGCTCTCCCCCTTTCCCTCTCTCTCTCTCGCACGCACTCACTCTCCCACCCACTCCCTCTCTCTGACGCCTTCTTCTTCTCAATGGAGGCTATGAGAAGAGAGCAGGTATGATGCTTCCTCAAGGCACTAGGGAAAGACATGATAGCTTGTTACTCTTCACCCTCTGTTAGCTTTGAGTAATGTAAGGAGGGCATGGTCTTGTTTCTCAGCTCCATTTAGCCCTTTTTTAAACAAAAGTTACAGTTGTGTTCAGGTCTCTCTGCCTTCACGTTGAGATGGCTTTAAGATGCTTCTCTAAATAGTTGCAGCGGCTTTATCAGTAACTGATTGCTCTCGATTCTTGAAGTCAAGGACTTAAATCTCGAGGAGCAGTGTTTTCTGTTTTGGTGTCGGTGCTGCTGGATCAAAGAGAGATTTGAGCGTGGCTTGATGGATCTTGTTGTTTGAGAAAGCTCGTCATGTGATAGCACAGCTGTATTTAGAGCAATCACAGCATGGGTGATGTAACTTGATTCATTACAATGAACGTCAGAAGAACTTGACACTGTCCTGAGAGTTGATTTAGAAAAATGTTCCTTGTTGTCGTACCATTTCTTTGATCCCCCATGGTCAGTATATAATGAGGTCCCAGGGGCCTGGATGTGTAGTGCATCTTATGCTCTGTGATCAGGAATATACTGGAACATAAAAGCTGCAGTGCCTGCTCACCAAGCCAAGGGATGCATGTTAGGCTGCAGTGTGAGCCTCAATGTTTACCGGCTTCAATCTTCTGAGCAGCTTTCTGTCCGAGGACTAGACTTCGCATCTCTTGGATCAGTCTTTACAAGTATTCCTGGAGTTAATTCAAGATTTCATGCTAAATGGACTCAAAGAGACAGATTTTAGGGCTTGTTTGGCTATATTGAGAAAGTGGACATTAAAGGGGGGGAAAGGAAATGACGTAGGAGAGGATTGATGACGCTCCGAGGGCAGACTGGGATCATTACGGTCAGATCAAAATGCATTGGCACTTTTGGGTAGAGAATATGCAAAACCAATCTTTTTTTCAGCCACATTTCTTTAGAGCAATAGTCAGAAATGTTTACGGTGGTACAAAACAGACTGCAAGATGGTTAAGGAGATACAAAAGATAACGAAACCATGTCTGCCTGCAAAAATTAAGTATTATTTTTCTCCCGTCTGTTTTTTTTTCTTGTAAGACCACCTCTTCAGGCGACTAAAGACTATCTGAGAAGAAGAGAATCCCTCTTTTGTCAAATACCTCGCATCCCAAAGACAAGGTTTTGCATGCTGCATTTTAAGAGCTCATATGACAAACATGTGGCCATCAGTGCTTCAGGTTGGCTGTGTGAAATGCAGTTGTGTACCTTTCTTTATCATTGCATCTCATTTGGGTGTTGCCACCTTGTGCGTGTCTCTGGCAGTGAAACAGTTGGTTGTGTAATGTGCTTGTGTTTAGTTGGCAACGACTGGTTTTCAGGCCTCCTGCAGTAGAGTCTAGGATCAGTGCAAACATCCAGACCTCATACACAGTATGCTATGTATGTTTATATCATTAGATATATTATCTATCAAGAGCTGAGTAAGTACTAAGCTTGTTTGTTTAAAAAAATACACAAGGTCCAATCTGGAGTGCAAACTCTCAACCATTGGTCCTTTTATTTTTGCAGCTTTTTTAACATTTCTATTTTTTAATATTTTCTAAGGTTTGTCATCTGGTCTCAAAGCACTGGCTTCACATGTAGAGCTTCATTCAGCAGCTTCCTGAATCCACGAGCCTCCAGACCCTTACACTCCCCATCTAGTGGAAAAAAGCTGCAATGGCCGCGTTGTGTCAGTAAACAACCTGGTTTGCGAAATGGCGGAGAGATCTGCAGACAGGCTTCTCTGTCTACCCTCCCCCCTCTCCTTTCTGTTTCCACTGTGTAAGTTCCACTTTCCACCACTAGGGGGAGGGATGAGGCTGGTGTGGTGTTCTTTTTGTGAGTGGCTCTCCTTAATCCATGGAAAACAGGAACTTAAGGAGTAATCTTCTCTTCACCCTCACATGTGCTCACTAGATTCCTTCAGATCATGTCATAGACTAGATGTTCTTTGGGAGACACCCTCAGGTTTTGTGCTCCTGGCCTCACCTTGTTGCTAAATGACGAGGTGCATGATCGTGTTCAGGAGCACGTGTTTGGGAGTGATTTGGGAAATCTGTCCTGATGGCCCATTCAGTCGGGCTTGGGGTCTCGCTTGTCTGCAGGTTCCAGGACACACCCTGTGTTAAATCTGAGGATTTGACTGTCAGGGGAGAACTGACTGGGCTCTCCGGTGCTCTCTGTCTGCTGCAGGCCTTGTGATTGCCTTACTTTGGGGAGAATATGTTTTCTCTGCTTTCTTGTGACAATCAGATTCAGCATCTGCCCTTACTAGTCACTAGATATGACCCCAGCAGCCCCTAGCAGAGTATGTCTGTTTGGTATGAGCCTCACATAGCGTAGAGGAGACTGTCCTGCTCTGTTCTAAATGAATGCCTCTCAAAATGACCTAGACCATTTGATATTTGATCTAAATATTTGCCCAAGTGTGAAGACAAACAGGGTGGCTTTGACAAGTTAGACCCAAAGAGGCAAAGTGTAGATTCATGATGGTTTCCTCTGAGGCCTCTTTTGTGTCCTCTGGGCCCATTTATCCCAGAGTGAGCAGGAGGTTGACGCTCAGCTCAGGAGGAGTAGAGAGTTTAGCGCTTCCTGGTGCTGCCTCTTCAACAGCTTCCTCCCGCGAGTTGTAAAAAACGGTCTGTGGGCGGCTGAGATTACCTTTGAAGCCTCGGCTGTGCATCTGCTGGCTGGCTGTGGCACAGAAAGAGAGAAGAAGACAATAAAAGAGCACGGGGGTCGCCTGCATTCTCTTGACTTCTCTATAGTCTTTGATTCGGACAAAGCACGTCACTGAAAAGAGGACTTTACTCTGAATTCATTGCATAAACGGGATGGTTTTTTCAGGTGCTCATGCTACGAGTTTTGCTTTACAGATCAGTCATTGAGTAATCATTTAGTTTCTCATTGGATTGGAAAGAAATGGGGGGGAAATGCTAAACATTCTGCTGCTTTTCTAACAAAATTATACAATGTAGGGCTTTGACAGTTATTTGTATTAACAGTCTGACTGTCTACTGTGTTTTCAAATAGTCAATTCATCATTCAATCAATTTCCTTTTAATTATTATAAAACGGATAATTGTTACAGAGATTGTTTGGTGTTTTTGCTCGGTATAATCGATAAAGGCCATTTTCCCCAATTTACTGTCCATCACATTTGAAAGGAAATATCTCTGCTCTTATATCATAAATGTAATATCTTTGGGTTTTGAACTGTTGGGCAGACGTTTTAAAGAGGTGACCCTGGACTTTGGAAACTTGTGATGGGACTTTTTGACAGTTTTTAGACCTACCGGTTATTTGCTAAAGATATTAACTGATAATAAAGAGAAAATAATATTGCTTTGGAGCTCTTTATTTGATTTCCCTTCTTCTTTTCCCTGTAGCCCGCTGGTCTAGCCAAGGGCAGCCTGGAGAAGGGTGCATCCTCAAAGAAAGAGGAACTCGAAGCAGCGAGCAACGGAGAGGAGAAACCAGGTATTAGTCAAATGAAACCTGATGGCACTTCATTTATGAAAATGATATGTTTACATTGTAATTTGCATCTTTCTCTAATGTTTCCTCCTATAGATAGAGAGAAAGAAGTAGCAGCCAGACTGGCTTCTTCCCCTCCAGCAGAGACGATGCTAAACGGGACTGAATGTGACGACACGAGGCACAAGAGCCCGACTCACGGCTCCGCATTCAACAACAAGACTTTACCGCTGGTGAATGAAAACGGCACGTTAGATATGGAGCCACCGCACGGTTCTGTTACCGGAAGCAACGGATTCATTCTCACAAAGCAGCAGCAGCAGGAAGGTGTCTCTTCAGCGACGCTGGGTTCGGGAGTTTCCCCCCACAGGACTAACTGGCTGCCTTCGGGCTCGCCGACAGGGGGAAACCGGGCCAAATCTCCCCCGGCCTCGGACTCTGGGTGCACACAGACTTCAGGTGCACTAAGGACTGATCCCAGTACAGGGACTACGTCAGGACCGGAGACACCAGACACTAAAAATGGCACAGCCTCCTTTCCGGCCCCGGCTCCCGTCACCATACACAGAGCGCGCAAGACCATGTCCAGACCCGCTGTCAGCCCGGCTCAAAAGGTAAACCATGGGATAAGCAGCACACTAGTCTCTCCTCTCTCATTGTGTCTTTACTTAGGGTGATACTGTAGACATTTGACTCCATTTGGATTCCGTTGATGACAGTTTGATTGGTCCAAAAGGACCCAATATGTCCACAATTGTTTGTTAATCACACAATATGTTGCAATGTCACAATTCACATGAAACACAACTGAAGTATTTAATTGACCAGAACTACTTACTGAGCTGTGCTTGTAGGAGGACCTTTTATAAATGTGACACACAATGGTAAGTGTTCCTCGCAGCAGGAAACAAATCGAAGTGAAAAGATGAATAGAATCTGTTCCCTTTTTAAAAATCAACTAATCAGGGTATTTTGTGGTGTCAATTGGTCCGAAGCAAATAAAACATTGAGTGCTCCCAGTAACAAACAGGCTTAAAGTAAATCCCTCGGTAACACAGTGATCATGCATGCTTTTGTTTTGTTCTTCTTCCTTCAGCTTCTTAACAGGGAATTAAGAGAAGCTCAGACTGCCAAAATGGAGATTGAAGTTTCACCTGCTGCTCAGAAACCCCCGCAGCAGAACCATCTACCTCAGAGTCCACCGGATACACCAGCTTCAGCACAAACTGCTCCGTCAGCTTCACCAGCACCTACTGCAGCTCCTGCATCACCTCCAGCTCCTTCCGATCCTTCGGCACCTGGAGATTCTCCGGCTCCTGAAGCTCCTGCTCCACCTGTTGCTCCTGCAGCTCGTCCAGCTCCAGTCAAACTCCACCTAGGTCAGACAGACTGCAATACAACATGACAATAACTCTACCCGGTGAGCTATTGAGCGGCCCATCTACCGACAGTTGTGCTGTAAATGTGTCTGTGTGTTCTCTCGGTGCTGTAGGCCCTTTCTCAGGAGGCTTGTCGTCCCGTAAGAAGAAGCGGAGGATGGGAATGTACAGTCTGGTTCCCAAGAAGAAAACCAAAGTGCTTAAGCAGAGAACTATGCTGGAAATGTTTAAGGGAATGGAACAGTCTGCAAAAAGCCTGCAGGTATGTGCTCCTGACATTCATCACAAAAAACTCAATATTTATGTTTCATTGATGACCTTATTTAGACACTGACATCAGTTTGACAAAGAAATAAAAATCCCTTCATGTGACAAGTTTAAAAGTTTTTCTTGGTTTCATACTCACCTTATTTTTAAGCACATTCTACTATTGCAGGCAGAATTTGCCGATTTAGGTTTTAGATTCATACAGTTTTGGTTTGGTCTTATAAAATCTCATGATATTAAAAGACGTCAATGCCAGTTTCTCTAAAATCCAAGGTGATGTCTTTAATGGCGCATTTCCACTACACGGCCTCGCTCGGTATGGTTAGGCCTCGTTAGGACTGGCTCACTTTATGGCGCATTTCCATTACTGTTTAGGAACTGGGGTAGTATCTATAGTAACGCAGTGTAGGCGGAGCTGTGACGTCATCTTCAATGCGAACCCCAGAAAAACAACACAGCCGTTAGCTGTTAGCACTCAGAGCTCACAGCTCCTCATATATGTTCAGAAACTAGACAAAAGTTAAACAAGTACAAACCACAGACTGCCTGTGTCATGGTGAATACAGTCGCTGCTTTATTTATGTCTGTATAGGCCGTTGTTGTGAGTGTGGACGGTCGGAGCATATACTGCGTTAGCTTAGCCAATCTACATTTAGAAAACACGCATTTTAAAAGGTTTGCAGACTTGACAAAGCATTAATTCATGGTTTTTACTAACCGGTATCAGTATGTTGTTACTTCGGCATCATTTTGAAACGTGTATTACAATTAAATCACGGTCAAATATGTCCATCTTGTTGTAGTTGTAGCCCCCTTGCCAGCGATTCTCTCTCTAGTTTAGCATACTCAGTCCGATTCAGCCTGGTTGTTCCTGGCCCTAGAACCACGATTTTATGGGGCCAGAAAAACTGTGAATTAGGACCCGCTAGCCGGTACTAGGCCAAGTGGAAACGCAACCAAAGACGGGCCGCTGACGTCACAGCTCTCTTAAACGGGGCTCCGCGCTGCAGTGAAAACGCGCCAGAAGTGTCTTGTTCTGTCAGACCAAAGCCCAAAGATATTTATTTTAACAATATATAAAATGGGAAATCTCCAAATGGAAGAGCATTATGATGGACTAAGTGTCATTAAGATGTTTTCCAGTACTAGTGCCAATAACTGAGATTTGAGATCTGTCATGGTGTAATCCAAGAAAGCCCAAACATTAACAAATAAATGTGTTATTCCTAAAAACCTTGACAAGCGGCTGTACAGAAACTGTTACCAGATGTTTTATAACAGTATATTTCACAGCATATTTTGTTATGATCATCATGTAGTCCTCTCCTGTCTCACAGAGTAAAGTTATACCTAACATAAACGGGGAGAAGGTGGAAAATGCATCTGAGGAGGAAGAGTCCGAGGAGGTGGAGTCTGAGGAAGAGGAGCGGCAGCAGCCAGCAGGAGAAGCTGCCGGTGCGGCCCAGGAGGAAACATCCGAACCCTCTCAGGTCGGAACAGAAACACGTCTTTGATCCTGACATTACATCATGGTCATTACTACTTTATCAAAGTGCATCATTTATAAAAGAAAATGTAGTAATTGTTTTCAGAAAGTAGAATCTAAAAGTCAGTAAACAACTGTATTTGGGATATATGTGATTAAAGGTAGGGTAGGTAAGAATGGAGAAACCAGCTCGAGTGCACTAGAATCTGAAAGTACGCAGCCGAAAAAAATCTGCCCCTTCCTTCAGACTTCCTTACAGAGCCCCTCCTCCAACACACACGAACGCGCACATGACCAATGAGGGCACGAGATAAGTTTGTGCACAGGCTGACGTGCACAAACTCAGATGATTGGTCGTGCTTTTTACAGCGCCACGGCTTCGACAGATGACATTTTTTTTATGTATTTATTGTCAAAGCACTTAATGTATTCATTGCTATCGGGATGTTAAAGGTGGGGTAGGTAAGTTTGAGAAACCGGCTCGAGATACACTTTTTGTTATATTCCATGGAATGCTCTTAACATCCCGATAGCAATGAATATTTTAAGTGCTTTGACAAAAAAATCCATTAAAAAATGTCATCTGTGGAAGCCGTAGTACTGTAAAAAACACGACCAATCATTTTAGCCGGCCCGGCTAAAATAACTGGATGGCCTACCTGCCTGTCAGCCTTCCATCTGTGCACAAACTTATCTCGTGCCCTCATTGGTCATGTGCGCGTTCGTGTGTGTTGGAGGAGGTGCTCTATAAGGAAGTGGCAGATTTTCTCCAGTTGTGTATTTTCAAATTCTAGTGATCTCGAGCCGGTTTCTCAAACTTACCTACCCCACCTTTAAGAGCATTCCATGGAATATAACAAAAAGTGTTTCTGAAGTGAATTACCTACCCCACCTTTAAGTGAGGTCTTAAAAATGATCAGTGTTGCTGGAATACATTAAAAACCGTACAGGTGCAAGGATTCAGTCAGTTGAACAGTTTTGTTGAACCAAATGTATGAGTAATCTATTAGAGTGAAAGCCTGTTTGCATACGCTCCGTGTTAACATGTGATGAACTCTGTTTTGTGTTTGTGGTGAAGGGGGGAGATGAGCAGGAGTTTGAAGAGTCTGCAGAAGAAGGGGGAGAGGAGGAGGGCACAGAGTCAGACCTGGTAAGATCCAACATCATTGGGTGGTAAAGTGACGGCGTAGTTTTGTAGGCTGACCTGGAAGTTAGCATCAGGGCTACCTTGACAAAGCTAATGGGTTTTCAGAATCTAGCAGAAAATTAAATATCCGGCAATAACGCACATTTATTGTAACTTGTGTTTTGTTCATCAAGAAAATCTCCAAATATTCTCACCACGTTTACAACAGTTCAGAATCAGAATACCTTTATTAGTCCCACGGAGGGGAAATGTGCGTAGTTACAGCAGGAAAAAGAGCCACAGACAGCTTAATGTTACATATATTAAATATGTGAAATGCATTAAAAAAAGTACTAAGTTATGATATAATACAAAATATAATAAAAATAAAGTTACATAATTTAAAAAAAAATACACATCCTGTAACAGTTCTTAGGATTTAGCAGCCAGGTATATATATTACACAGTTATTAACAGGCATCTATATATATTGCACATCTAGCACATATTGCACATAGTTTGTTGGTATTTAGCAGCAAGGGGTGATATAGTCTGTGTTGTGGTGTGTGTGTGTGTGTGTGTGTGTGTGTGTGTGTGTGTGTGTGTGTGGGGGGGGGTAGACTAGGGGCTGTGCTGGTTGTATAGTCTGACCGCTGCAGGAAGGAAAGACCTGTGGTATCTCTCCGTGAGACAGCGGGGGTGCATCAGTTAAAGCGTTAATGCAATCCCCAGAAGTAAAAAGCTACATTATGGTCGTATAACTGCGCGCCACCAGCTCTGAGATAAGTTTAAAAAAAAAAACGTTCACTTCGAGGTGAGACAACTGGAAGTTCTAAAATGCTGACTCATTTGTGGGTAGAGGTCTCGTTCCTGCTTCACTCAATGACTCAACCTTCTTCTCACATCAACACTTATATAGTGGTGCAGAAGTGAAAACCCACATTAGAGTCAGCATTTTGCACCTTCTGTTGTCTTGAAGTTGCTTTGGTTAAATGCCTGAAATATGACATAAAATAGAGGTGAAAGGCTTTTGTTTCAAGCAATTATGCGCGAAAATCAAATGTATATTTTAAAACGTAGTGGTGGTGACGTAAATTCACACCACTGTTGTATGTTTTGTCTACATTATTAGCTTATTACTTTTGCATTTACGCTTCAAAAATCATTAAAGGGATGTTCATTTGTGAAGATTATCTTGCTGAAGAATTCCATTATAATCTGCATGAGGACACTAGGGGCGCTGTTCATATCTGGGCTGGCATACATACAACAATCGGTCATTCTTGAAGCACTCTGTTACAGAAGACAACATTTTTTTTGTCCGTCTCAGAGCACAGAGTCCAGTCTGAAGAAGAAACTGAAAAATAAGTTAAAGCGAGACGCAGCGTGGCTCAGGCCGGCCAGGAAACGGAAGAGGCGGATAAAGGCCAAAGGTGATCGCCTGTCACACTCTCACCTGTACACGGTCATACATTCAGTCACCTGTACTGCATATGTTGAACACACACACACACACACACACACACACACACACACACACACACACACACACACACACGTATACATCACTTCAGGGGACATTACATTGACTTACATGCATTTCCTGGAGACTTATCCTAAACTTAACCATAACCAACACATGCCTAACCCTAACCAATTCTTCACCCTAAAATTAATGAACACACACACACACACACACACACACATCATTCAAACGGAGGCAGCAGACCCTACCAATGTGTATGTTTAGGAGTCAGCAGTGATAGCAGCACAATTTTCCAAAACATCAACTAATCCCGATATTACGATTGATATTGCAACTGCGATTTGATTCGCTATAGTAGATTTTACATTATCATTGAAAAGTTTATTATAAAATAATGGTGCAAAGAGGCTCTTTAGTAGACAATATTTTAGTTTATGTCTGTAGAACACTGTTTGTTGGCTGGGACTTCTCTCCAGCACCACAATACTTTACATAGAAAGATGTTCCACATATTTGACCTTTACCAACTATTGTGCTTACTGCAATTTGGATGTGGTACTACTTTTGATACAATTCAATTGATTGTGCCACCCTGTGGATGAATATGAGAAAGAATTACAACAGGTCCTTGAACATAGAGTGATACATGAGCACAAACAATATTAGGCTTATGGATCTAGTTGTATGGGAAATTAGCTGCAGACAGAGATAACACACACACACACGCACGCACGCACGCACCAGCTCAAGATCTCCATGGCTTAGGTTATAACAATAAAAGTAAAAATAGAAACGATACAAAAGCACGTTTGGCTTTGTTGCTTAAGACGGCATTAAAGTGATCGTAAACACTGAAGCATTTTCTTACTGATCTCTGTGGATCCCTCAGAAATGGAGGCGGTGGATCAGCTCCAAACCTCCGCTCCGGCTCAGACTGACGATGTGAAGGAGCGCACTCAGATCCCCTCACCCGACTCCCTCCCCCTCCAGCAGCCCCGAGAGGCAGCGGCTCCCGCTCAGAACAAAGGTGAGCTCAGAAGAAATAAGGACACTGGCTTAACTGGTTGACGGTAATCCATCACGTCTTGTACCCACCAGTCACACATTGTGTATTTCCTTTTATATGCTTTGATCAATGGAGTTCAAAAGTATTGGTGTGATTCCACCGCTAACGGCTCCTGTGTTTTAATGGTTCCACCAGGTTTGTTCTGGTAGATATATAGCATATATAGTTCATGTGTGTGCCAGAAGACTCACACATTTCAGTAGCTACAGACACCTGACTGACTGCTACGTCTTAAAGATCATTCTCATACTCGTGTTTGTTTTCCTCCAAAAGTCTCAGCACACTCGGTGCAGCGGATTGGTTTTTGTTATTCTAGTCAGTCCAGCTTCAGTTCTTGTTTGGTACCATAACAAAAAAACATATTTGAAGCACCACATATCAAGTGCTTCCGTGGAATGTCTGGTCTGATTTGCAATTTTGTTTTCCTGTCCTGTGATTTGATTAAAATCTCAATGCTGTGACTATGTTTCTAAGTTAGTAAGTGAAACCTTGTGCAGATGCTCAAAGAACAGTTTGACTTCCTTGGTCATATTTTTATCAACAAAAGAAGTTCAAGTTTGATAAAAAACAGGATAGAACAAAAATATTTATATAAACACAAGATTTATAGTAAAAATTAGCAAATTGTACTTATATAGCATGTATGTTACAATATAAATACATATAAATATTGAGGTACATGGTAAGTAAAGTCAGACATTTCTTTGCAGAAGCTTCAGGGTCAGCGATGGAGGAGGCTCAGGAGCTCCCTCTCTGCAGCTGCCGCATGGAGACGCCTAAGAGTCGAGAGATCCTCACGCTGGCCGACAGGAAGTGCATGGCCACGGAGAGCGTGGACGGACAGCTGAGCCGCTGCCAGGGCGCCATCCTGAAACACGAAATGATGCGCCCCTCAAACTCTGTGCAGCTGCTGGTGCTGTGCGAGGATCACCGCAACGGCATGGTGAAGCACCAGTGCTGCCCCGGCTGTGGCTTCTTCTGCAGGGCTGTGAGTACACACACTCACACTCACACTCACACTCACACTCACACTCACACTCACACTCACACTCACACTCACACTCACACTCACACTCACACTCACACACTCACACACATGCAAGCAATTTATATACGTGGATAAACTAAGGGGGTGTGGTCCAGATAATGAGTCTTAAGAGTGTAGAAAAATCTATACAATACATGTATTTACTTTTGAACACAGTATATCTGAAATTAAAGGATATACATAACATTCTTTAGGGCAAATCTCAATCAGTGATGCCATCATTTAAAGTTACGATGTTTTCTCAGTTCCATCTGTTTGTATGCTGTGGAAGGGACTATCTTTTTTCTTAACGGAAGCAATACGACCCTTTTTAAGTCAATAAAATCATATCAATTTATATTGGTAGTCAAGTCATAAAATGATTTAGTATGTGTAAATAGCGGAATAATGTGCAGCGAGGCGGTCATTCGCGTCAGGCTCCATTATCGCCCTGTCAGGTGTTTTTTTTTTTTCAATAATGACCGCCTTGCTGCACATTATCCCTTACGCAAAAACACAATATATCCTTAAGCTGCAGAAAATACAGGCCTGCTGCTGAAGTGCTCTTGAGCAAAACTCCACACAAGTCATTAATTGTTTTTGACTTTGTACATTTCACCTTTAGGGGACCTTCATGGAGTGCCAACCGGACCTCAGCATCTCTCACCGTTTCCACCGCGCCTGCGCCTCCATGCTGAAAGGTCAAAGCTTCTGTCCGCACTGCGGAGAGGAGGCCAGCAAGGCCAAGGAGGTGACCATCGCCAATGCCGACACCACCTCCACCGTCCCCCCCGCACTCGCACACGGCCCTGCAACACCCGGGGCCCCCGAGGGCCGAGCAGACACCACCACTGGCAGGTGAAGAACCACATGATGATCAACAGGTGTATGATGCTCATGTTGGGAGACTTTGTAACCTATTAGTGAATAAACATAAACAATGTGAAGGCAGCCGATTTTACTTTTTGTTTCCTCTACAGAAGATTTTTAAAGAGAAATGTTAACATTTTAAAGGTGTAAAATAATGAATACCAAAGTAAAGCTTTAAAAATGAATTGAATTCTTGTTTATAATGCTGACATTCAAATTCTTAATCAACATTTTAGATGCTGTCCAGCCTTGTTTTGCATGCCAGTTAACAGCTACACTATATTTTCAGATATATACTATTTATAGACTGGTCTGTTTCCAACTCATGTGATCCAAACAATTCCAAAAACTTCAGAGCTTTGATTTGTCCAAATTCAAAAGTAATAAGAAAATTGAAGAACATGTTTTTATCCAACAAAATATGTAATCAATCCTTATTTGTTGATACTAAGCATTTCCAAAACAACTATTTCACTGTGTTCAAAAAACTGCTTGCCGTCCTGCTTGCCACACACGAAAGAAAGTATGCCCTGGCAACTTATAACATTCATAGCACTGCTAAAATACTTTTCCATGTTCTTCTCCAGCTCCTCTCACCTGGCCGTGGGTTCTGAGGTCAGCGGCCGTGCCGACAGCTCGCTTCCCGCCAGTTTCTCAGACGGCCTGGACTCCCTGGCTGCTCCCGGCTCATCGCAGGACACAGCGCTGCAGGCGGGGACCATGCTGCCCCCTACAGTCCAGCAGGGGGCCCCCAGAGAGAGTCTGGAGAGCATCCTCATGGCTCTAGATACAGAGAAGTAAGCTCCACCTTCAGAGTTTATCTGACTGAGAACAAGCCTGTGAGGTAAACATAGAGAAACACTCACTTATTTTTTCTTCTGCGTCTTTTCCTCAGGCCTAAGAAGCTGCGTTTTCACCCCAAACAACTTTACCTCTCAGCCAAACAGGGAGAACTCAAGAAGGTGTTGCATATGTTGGGTATGTTAACCCTGCCTGTTCCTCATTATAGTCTCCATTTGGTGTTCTTTTTAAATGCATCTACTGTTTGTTTTCATCCATATCCTTTTAATGAAGATGTTTCCTTCTCCATTTACCTTCCAGTGGACGGTATCGACCCAAACTTTAAGATGGAGTCTCAGAACAAGCGCACCCCGCTCCACGCTGCAGCGGAGGGAGGCTTCAAAGACATCTGCCACATGCTCGTACAGGTCAGACTCTCTTACTGATAATCATTCAGCGCTACCATGTACAGACGTATGTGATAGATTCTAATGTCACATTTGAAAATGAAACATGTCACTTCAGGCCGGAGCGAACCTGGACATGTGTGATGAAGACCAGCGGACGCCACTGATGGAGGCCTGTGAGAACAACTTCATAGAGGTGGTGCAGTACCTGCTGAGAGCCGGAGCCAGCGCCACTCACAAGGTACACCTGCAGATAGTTTGTATTTGACCGTCTGATTGTTTTGGCAGCTGTTGGACTGGTGCTCTAACTTTATACCTTTTGTCCAAATTAAATTTTAAAAATGTAATTTATTTAAGTGGTTTCTTGCTAAATTTTAAATTTTAAATTATTTCATCATATCCATATACCAACGGTGACCAAGGGCCTTTTCTGTTAGGGCCCCCACCTCTCTGAGGATATTAGACTGGAAAGCTTTGTATCCTATTTTAAACCCCTACTAAAAATCACATTCAATTAGTGTGTTATTCAGAGCGTTTGAGGGTTGAATATCCACCTAAACCCATATTTATATATATTAAAAAAAAAGCATTCTCTTGTATTTTATTATTTGGATTATTATTTATTTGTATTTATTTTATAAAACTAACATTTTGTTGTACTTTTTGTCAAATGCAGCACCTCTGCTCAATGTTTTAAATACATTTTTATCAGTTTTATCATTGGTTGTCTTTCTTTTGAGAAGTACTCTACAAATAAAGATTATATATTTGGAAATGTATCTTGAGACTTGAGGAACTGTCAATAATTGTCTTCTCTGCTGCTCTCAGGATGTTGAAGGGTTCACGTGTCTCCACCTAGCGGCAAAGTCTGGTCATTACAACATCGTTGAGTACCTTCTGAACGCGGGGGTGATCAACATCAACTGTCAGGTTGGTACCGTTTCACATTTCCCTTTCAACCCTCTTGATACTCGCAGGATTTCATTCAATATTATTTTTTTGGGATGATGACGTCATAAAATATAACAGACATTTGGCGCTTCAATCGAAAACCTCAATAGAAGTTTGAAGCGACAAAAGACATTTGGTACAGCCCTATGAAAACGTTTTACGTCTTCTCAAAGATGACCTTTGTTGATGTGAAATCACTATTAGGAGTCAGATTCAACTTCATTTCACACACTATCAGAACAATTAGCTCTTAGGAAGGATCTCCAATTGGAAATAACACATAAGAAAAAGGAATACAAAAATATTTTGACTAGAGAGGGTGTCAGTATTTTCTATACACTGTAGGCTTCCCTTCAAATGCACTTGTTCAAGTAAACGAGATGCACCTGTTCAATTATTCACAGTACAGAAACAACTGACTTTTGTCATATAGGTGTGTTTCAGATTCACTCAGCTTATCAGTGATCAGTTAGCTGAGCAGTTAGCTGAGCAGTTAGCTGAGCCGTTAGCTGAGCTTGTCTTATTCTCCTCAGGATGATGGAGGTTGGACAGCCATGATCTGGGCGACAGAGTATAAGCACGCGGACCAGGTGAAGTTGCTGCTGTGCAAAGGAGCCGACATCAGCATCAGGGACAAGGTTGGCTAATGAGCACTCTGTGTTTCACATGCGTTACAGAAGAAAGAATGTTGTCTAATGGTGTTAATGGTTTTGTTTTTTGTCTAGGAGGAGAACATCTGCCTGCACTGGGCGGCGTTCTCCGGCAGCGTGGAGATCGCCGAGCTGCTCCTGAACGCTCGCTGTGACCTGCAGGTCGTCAACATCCACGGAGACTCTCCTCTGCACATCGCTGCTCGGGAGAACCGCTTAGAATGTGTCACGTGAGTTAATGTCTTTAGAAAATAGAACAAATGTTAGTTTTTTGTACCTGTAGTTTAAAACAAGAGGATTGCTTCAAACTGAAAAACTAAGAGCCTGTGTCCACATATCGCATTTCTCCGAGCGCCAGCATCTATTTTCATTTGGTTCCAATGAGGAGTTGGCGAATGCTATTGAATGTGGTCGCCTCGAGAAAAAGTGCTTCACCGTGGGTCATGTTGCTGCTTTGAGTTTCAACTTTATTAGAATATCAGAATAGCGCCAAAGCTAATTTGTACAAAGGTTGAATGCAAGCTTCTGCCGCTAGGTTGTAATGGTTAAAAAACAATGTCAAACAAATATATAGTAGCACAAACAGAAAGGGTGCAATGCTTGTCATACAAAAACTGTGATATGTTGTCAAGATATCACAGAAACAATAACCAATTGTTTTTTCCATGGATGAATCGTGGCAGAAAGCTCTCCCCAGCATCATTCTGCCAAAAAGTCGCCATGTGGACACGGGCCCTAAAAATATTTGTTTCCAAATGGCCAAATGGTTGATCAGATTGTGCTCTCCTCAGGCTGTTCCTGACTCACGGAGCAGATGTGCTTCTGAAGAACCGCGAGGGAGAAACTCCTCCAGACTGCTGCAGCAACAACTCCAAAGCCTGGGCCGTGCTGCAGGCCAACCGGAAGGAGAGGGACTCCAAGAGCAGCACGCTCCACCGACCACAGGAGAAAGTGCTTCAGAGGTTAGAATTATTCTGTGGAGATAGGTGTGGGTATATGGCATTGGATACAGGTTGAAAGAAAGGATGCTATCATGTGTTCTTGACTTGTTAGGGGGTCAAAACATAACATTTTAACCCCAGCATTTTTGTTACTGCCCCTGTATCAGATATGCTTGACATTGACTTCTTAACACGTGGCCTTTTGTGGTCATTCATTATTTTATGATTCCTATGATGTTCTAATGTTTTGTCAAGCACTTTGTGACTATGTATGTGAAAAGCGCTTTGTAACAAAATGTTGCTTACTTACTCTTATTATCGTCTGCTCTGTTTACAGTGACATAGCTCTGGGACAGGAGAGAATTCCCCTCCCGTGTGTCAACTCTGTGGACGGTGAGCCTCACCCAGACGACTACAAATACATCCCCGAAAACTGCGTCACCTCGCCCATGAACATCGACCGTAACATAACGCACCTACAGGTCAGTAAGAAACCACACCAGCAGATATTTGAAACAAAGAGGCTTTTATTCCCTCTGTGATTGGCAGCGTGAAATGACCAGTATTATTTTCTCTCTTTTTCCGGTGGATAACAGTACTGTGTTTGTAAAGAAGACTGTTCAACGAGTATCTGCATGTGTGGACAGCTCAGCCTGCGCTGCTGGTACGACAAGGTGAGAACAGACACGTCTGCATCTGAACACCAAGCAGTCTCAGGGATTTTTTTATCCTCCTGTCACTTTTTACTCACTGTTGACTCGTCCAACAACATCTATGGAAATAGCACATTAATGGTTAGAAGTAGGAATTATTCAATGTTTTGATTACAGTGTAACAAATGTATAATGCTTTAAAAAGGAAGAAATGCAAGTGGAAGTTGGACAAAAAACATTTCCAGTTCCCCGAAACACTTGTGTATCCACATACAATTTAAAAGAAAGACATGGGGGGGGGGGGGCTCTACCTGATATACATACTTAAAATCTGTCTGCAGCTCAGCCGAAGTTTCACTAAAATGTTGTCGTGACACTGTTGGTTTGTTTTTTACGCAATCTGGTTACTGCATTCTGTCGAAATGTGAAATTAAATGTCGAAATACAGTGATTAAGATAACATTTTTGTATTTAAGCTCAAATGTGGTGGTTTTTCCTGAAAGAAGCGTTTGATACACATAATTTGACTCTGACAATAATTTAGTTTTTCACGTTTTTTGGCTCTGAGAAATGGTGTAATTTCAGCAGCTTTAAAAGAAAATATGTATTTTACAACTTGACAGTGTGTTGTGGTGGTCATAGGGTTATGTACAAGCAGCACCAGACCAAAATATGTGAGTTTAATTTGTATTTTGTTGTCGTGTTCAGAAGGGTCGTCTGCTCCCTGAGTTCTGCCGGGAGGAGCCTCCTCTCATCTTTGAGTGTAACCACGCCTGCTCCTGCTGGAGGACCTGCAAGAACCGCGTCGTGCAAAATGGAATCAGGTACTTCATGAATCCACAAATAACAATACAAATAAAAGTTAATGCAACAGAGAATTGATTTAGCCCATTAGTCATTTACTTATTTTATTTATAAATACTTAACGGGTCTACAGTGTTGCTTATTTATTCTGTATACAGTGTACAGTGTCTATACTGTCTATGTACCTCTATGTGTATTCAATATTTATACCACAGTTTATAGTGTTAATACCCAATAATTGTGTTTAAAACACCTGTAGTACTAGAACTATTAAAGCATTTTGTTGTTTTCTTTTTTTGTGAGGTGTGAAAAGTTAAATATCTGTTTATAAAGCTGTAACATAAAGTGGTTGTGTATCTTCCAGGACCAGGCTGCAGCTCTTCAGGACCAGTAAGAAGGGCTGGGGTGTGCGTGCGCTACATGACATACCACAGGGGACCTTTGTATGCGAGTAAGTCCCACTTACAAATACAAACAAGGTTTTTTTTCTACTTCTTCCCCAATTTAAAGGTCACCTATTATGCAAAATCCACTTGTTCATGTCTCTTCTACATCCACATGTGTCCCCTCTGTGTAAAGAGATTCTGAAAGTTTCAGGAAAAAAGATTCTCTCTCTTTTTGTCCTGATCCATTTATATAAAAACCTGTCTGAAAATGAGCTGATCAGATTTTGGCCACTTTATGATGTCATAACGATTTTGTGGCTTGTGTAACCATTAGCCAATCACCAACCAAGGTAACCCCCCCCCCCCCACCTTATCACCTGAATCTCCTCCTAGAGCACCATTGTGTTATTTGTAACCAAATATCTCTCGTGGGGCGTGGGGAGGGGCTCCTTATTTTCATCTGAAGTAACAGACTGAGAATCAGCACTTTTGAAACAGGGCTGAAACAGAGGGGATTATGGGTAATGCTGCAATGATCTGTTTGGTATTTGGAGCCAAACACTTCAGAGACATGTTTTGTATATATCTGAGACCTATAATATATTGATGAAAAACACTATAATAGGGGACCTTTAAAAAAAAAAAAACCCTGCTACTCTCACACATGCAGTTTGGATCTCTTGCCACATGGCATCAGCTCAGAGTTTAACAGTGTGCTTTTTCACGTTCTGAAGTGCTGTCGATGTCACGGAGGTGTTTCCCTGATGTGCCAGTCACTATCCTGCTAATGTGTTGAAACTATATCTAACAGCTTTTTTATTTATTTCTTAAATCACTACTATTTAGTTCTGTGGCAGCTCTCTGGAGAAACACATTCTTAATCTAAATATTGTGGGTTTAATGTTATCACAGTGAGCTCCAGTTAGTGTGCTGGACTTTCTTCTTTCTTTTTTTAACTAGATGTGTTGGCAACAGAAGGAGAGCAAGTTAATAAATCAAATCAACTTTATTTAGAGAAAACGAATAGTCATCAGTAGGATATACAATCTGGCACAAAGTTATTACTGAACAATAAAGGCCTTTTGTTAACAAACCCGTATTTCTCAATTCTTATTAAACCATATACAGGCATCAGAACAGAATAATCAAGCTCATTGGGTACACTTTTGGCTTGACAAATTGCATGTGATGGTATAATATATTTTGGTTGATACCAGGCAGTTACTTTGGGATTATAGAATGTGTTTTTCATTATCTAAATGGAGTGGTCCACTCGGTGTTGAATTGGTTCACCAGCGGGGATGTGAAGTCTTTGAAGCTCAGTATCTCAGAGCTGCAGTCCTCCCAAATAAAACCTTATAATTCCCCACTCATGAGGAGTTGGCGTGTCGTAAACAGCATTAGATGAAAAGCTCTCAGTGATGTCTGCTGACGGGTCACCTGCTTTTGAACAGGTACGTGGGGGAGATCATCTCCGAGGCAGAGGCAGAGATGAGGCAGAACGACACGTACCTGTTCAGCCTGGACGATAAGGTAAAGCACCCTAACCCATCACCTCTTTACTTCTCCTTTCAGCCGTCACGTTGTTTCAGTTTGAGTCTCCTATTTATCTCCCTCACAGCCACAAGATCAATACTGCATCGACGCTCGTTTCTATGGCAACATCAGCCGCTTCCTCAATCACATGTGTGAGCCCAACCTGTTCGCCTGCCGAGTTTTCACGAAGCACCAGGACCTCCGTTTCCCACACATTGCCTTCTTCGCCAGTGAGAACATCAAGGCTGGAGAGGAGCTGGGGTAACACTTCATTTTTTATTTTGACGATTTGAATGCATTATAGGATGAATTATTGATGCCCAAGTTGATGGAAAATGATACAGTGTCCACAGCTCTGTTAACTTTTTGAATTTACACAGTTACAATATTAAACTGAAACCCTTAACAGCGTAGACGTGGTGGTATTGAAAATAAGAATCCTGGTGAAATCTTTACCGTTCTAAAAGCCATCCAGTTTATCAGCTTTAGTAACATGAGACCACCTGATTTGTTATTAAGGCACTCGTAGGTTGAGTTGGGTCATTTCTTAAAGGGGACCTATCATGCAAAATGCACTTTTGTACGTCTTTTATACATGAATATGTGTCCCCGGTGTTCCAGGGAACTCACCAAGTATCAGAAAACACAACCCTCTCTATTTTCCTCCATACCCAAATCTCTAAAAAAGGGGCTGCAAACGGATCTGATAAAAACTGATCCAGATTTGAACACTGTCCTGACGTCAGGACGGTGGCGCTACGGCTATTGGGCCAACTCCACCAATCAGGAGGACACAGCCACGGCCATTGCCGTTCGAAAGCGCTGGAGACGCTGTAGTACATATGCCAGGCCTGTAGATGGTGCTGTTCTCACAGAATCAACCCTTGCAAAAACAGAGCTAAAAAATGTCAAATTGAGCAAAATGAGGCATGGCTAAAATGCATGATCTGTTTGGTATTTTGAAAAAATAAATAAATAAAAAAAAGTATAAATATGCCTTATATAGGTATGGTCCTATACTATATTATTCAAATATAGCATGATAGGTCCACTTTAAGTAAAAAGTAAAGTGGTATAAAACATTGTAAAGGTACCACCTAGGTTTACTTTGCGAGCTTTGGTCGGCTCATAACACCACAGATGCCACTGGTTAAGAGTGTGTTAGCATTTTACAATTTTTACGTGTTTTGGTTTGATGCCTGTTATAAGATCTGTGGTTAACACAAATGTACGACATGCAAGTAACCTGCAAATAAAAGTCCTGGAAGAAACATAATCACTTTCTCATCCTCTCTCTCTTCAGATTTAACTATGGCGACCACTTCTGGGAAGTAAAGAGCAAGCTGTTCAGCTGTGAGTGCAGCTCTTCCAAGTGCAAGTTCTCGTCGGCGGCCCTGGCGTCGCTGCAGGCGGACAGCACACCGGAGGAGCAGCAGCCCAGCGCTCTGCCCGACACCAGCTCCTCCAACACCCCCTCCTAAAGCCCCCCCCCCCCCCCCCCCCCCCCCCACACTACACGTACCCCCGACTGACGGACACATGCTCCTTGAACTTTGAACTTTTATCAGTCGACTTGTACTGTCTCTCTACTTCTAATTGAAACCGTGGACCTTTGCGAGAACACGTTAAACGTTGTCACACGCAACCAGACGCACAATCAAAACCTGAAGGAACTTCCTGCTCCTTTATTTGGTCACAGGAACAGCAGGGGGCAGCAAATGTCACAGCGACAATAAAACAGTCTTTACAGAACCTTTCTCGGAGGGAGAACCGTGCATTTTGACTTTTTTTTAAGATGATTGAAATTGTTAAAAGGCTTTTCTTATTGAGTTAAGATCAAGGGACTTTGGGTGGGGGGTACAATTGCCTGTTGCAGAGACGACCTCAGCATACAGCTGGGCTTTGACCGTTGCGGTCGTTTATCATGAACCATTCCAGCAAGATAACTGATAAATATTGAATTTTGTTGCCACTTCTTTGTGTCACTTCATCTTTGTTGCAGTGTTTGAACAGAAACGTCCGACATTTGCCACCATAATTAATTATGAGTTAAGAAATAATTGGGAAAGCAAAGACATGGTGCAAAATAGTGGACATTTTGTATCTGAGGTCGTTAAATAAATTGGCTTTCCTTTTTCATTAAGCATGTTTAAGGGGATCTTAACGTGTCGTAGGAATTTATAAAACTGAAATGGAGGGTTTAAAAAACAAAGGACAATGGTGCTGACAAAGGTTTTTACTTTTGTTTTAATTTTTATTACCCACGTGAACATAGTTTGTAAGATAAGAGAACGTTTTACATTTTTTATGTTTAATTTTAACTCCACTTTTCTAAGCGTAGTAACTGTAGTTAGGCTATTTTTAATTTAGTTTCATGATTTTGCAGACTGAAGCGAACCCGTCTTTTTAAATGTTGTTAGTAAAGCAGTGACTGTTGTTCAAAGTCTTGAAAGGTATAAATAAATGAAAAAAAAAGCTATAAAAATGCACTTCATAACTTTCTGTTACATATTTCTGGACCGTGAATCATCCATCTTAATGGTTGTATCTTTTTCAATAAATTTACTACTAATGCATTTATTCTGATATGCTTCACTTGTAGTTTCTTGAGCCTGTTTGCTACAATGTTACCTCAAAATATGTTATGCTAATTTTTTATATCACATTTTCCTCTTTCTCCAACTGTAATTTTGCAGATTTTCTTCAGATCCAGTGGGAAACTGCTTTTCAGCTCCTTATCCTGTCAAACGCATCCTCAGCCCGACCCGGCAGCTGCTCCGTTTCACAGACTGCGCTAAAATGTTGGATCTGCTGACACTTCCCACACATAGTGAGCTTTAATGAGTATATGTTAAAGCTTTTAGTTTGTGCCATCATGCTGAGGAGCTCATTGCAACTAATAGAAGATACTAAACAGAGTGGTAGTAAATACTGCAGCAGAAATACTCCATTACAGGTCAAATCATGGATTCACAATTATTTTTAGATAACATTCCCTTCTCTTGCGTCAAGTGACCGAGTGACTTTGTTTTTGATCATAAATATTGTGTTTTTCATCTAATTGCCTCAAGACCTTATGTTATCCTCCACACTAGGCCTCTGAACATATACAATTGATGATCACCACTTGCATAGATTTTTTAGTGTTTTATTCAACAGTGAAACACCCATGATGTTTTCGGTCAGAATTGACCGCCATAGGAAATGACACACACACACACATATTTATTGTGCTTATGTCCCCCCACACCTTCCAGACAAAGCAATGTACTCTAAGTCCGGGGAACCTCTCATTTTCTCGCAATGTACTCTCTCTCTCTCTCTCACACACACTTCTTGTGCTTATGTCCCCCCACACCTTCCAGACAACCTCTCACTTTCTCGCGCTGTATGATACAATGTATCATACCTTCTCACGGGTGCGAGCTCTGTGCCCCTCGAGAAAGAAAAACCTCTCACTTTCTCGCAGTAAATGCCCCTCCATTACTGTCTCTCATGCAGTTATATTTGTGCCTTGCTCACATTTGACTCATTGACACAATGAGCAGGCGACCGATTAGGCGATTTTCTGTCAGAGAGGCTCTGGACAAATGTATTGAACCAGAAATAGAGGACGATGTCTCAGAAATGGAAGAAAACATCGATCCAGACTATGAGCCTGATCAACAGTCAACAGACCAGGAAGAGGCCCTGAGGGAGAGGAGCCCTGAATATTTATTTTTCTCTAAATGTTCATTGAGGAAAACAGTATCAGTGTCTTATTTTATATTCATCACAGTGAATGCAGTGAATGCTGAACTTGATGCGCCCACCGGTGGGTCCGGACCATATACTGTAGTTGAAAGTACACAATGAAACACTGACTTGCTTGTATCAAATCAATACATCCCATACATCATTGGAACGGGAAGAATCTCAGCTACAACACTAACTAAAGCATCTCCAGTAAACACGGCCTACATGGCAAGCATTTTTATAATATACAATAATGTACAGTAAGCACTATCTTTGAACTTACTGCAAAATTACAACATGAAATTCACCCCTGGTATCATTCTGTCTGTCACCCCCTGATTCTACTTGCGTTGACTGTTCAATGAGATGTCAACCATCAAAATTGGATAAGGGGTTCCAGAGATATCACTGTGCAAAACACACCGGACAATTTTGACCGAAAATAGCATGGGAAGGGGGGTATGACCTAACGCAAGAGAAGGGTTAACATGTGTTTGCATAAGTTTAAGAAATAAAAACGTTATGAAGGTTCTTCTTGGTAAAGCTACTCTAAACCAAATGTTCTTACTTATCTGCCTCTTCCATAAGGAGGGGTGTGCAAAATGTGCTTGATTGACAGCCCCCATCACTCTTTAGTTGCACCTTTTATGGTGGAATAAATGATGATGTAAAGTGTGTTTGCAATGCAAAGTCAGTTACATTTGTGAATGCAAGAACTTCTTAGTAAATACTAGATTAGCGTTAACGAGAGTGGGTTTAATGTATATCTGTCCCAAATTGCATTTGTTCTTCCATCCAATAGTGGACATGGGGCAGATGATTGAAATAATTAGCCTGTCAAATCATTACAAATGATGGCAAATAACCGTAACTTACAGTAAGAGATTTATAGGAGAGCTTATGAACTGTAGAAAACATTTAACACTAGAATATTTGTTCATTTTAATTTGCCTTAAAACATTTTTTTATTGGAATTATGATAAACAATTTGTATGTAATTATAGTGACTCTGTAGGGTACTGCTGAGGCTATGTGATGAATTAAATAGCACTGCACAAAATCCCATTGAAATCTATCTTGTTTTTGTTTGAAATGTTTGTCTAGACCAAAGTGATATCTCTTCTGACAATGCCATTGCTATTGCAGTTGTATCAGTGCATGAAAAACGAACATATTACATATTACAAAATACTCATCTGCAAAGTCACCTGTAGGTACAGCTGTTGAAAAGTAAAAGGTAGTCATTTCGTCGAAAGCTAACGTAGAGAAAGTCTCAAAATAGAAATGTATACATTAATTTCCCATTGTACTTATTTCAGTAAACATAGGTCCTTCCCACCTCTGCAATTAAACTCTTAAAGTTATAAAAACATGAATTCAGCTGCTGTTGTCCCATCTCCCAGTGGATTTGGATTCATAATGTCCCCTCCAGCAGCAATATGAAAGAAAGCCCGGCAGGAAGTGAGTTTCTGTAACATCTGCAGGCCTTTTAGGTCTCATAAACTGCCCGATGATTGCTCCCTTCCTGGTAACCAGGGCGGACAGCGAAAACAGAGCCGATAATTGAATCAGTGAAATTTCTCCTTGAGCATGGAAGACGCTCGGTCTGATAACGAGGTTCTTAACTGGCAGGACAGGAAGCAGCCCTTTTCCGCATTCCAGGGTGGGAGAAACTTTTATTTTTGTCTTTGGTGCCCCTGCCCTGGTGCCTCCTGCAGACATACATGTACCGACCGTGTAGGGGTCAAAGAGTTGATTTATTCCACTCTTCAGTTGGACGTACCTCAGTAACCCTGGAGAGCAGTTATGAAGAGAAGTCTTCCTCACAACTCGAGATGGGCAGAGAGACGGTCAACTGTGGTTTATGGTACGTTTATTCTACTTCTAACCACCTACGATTGTATTTGTGGTAACTCTTTATATTAAGGTACACTTATTCACCATCAATTAGTTGTTAATTAACATATTAGAGTCAAACTACTAGCTTATTTTTTATGAAAAATACTTCACTTTAAAATAGGGAACATATTTTTTGTTAGAAACACCAATTTTTTTATTTATTTTGACACAATAAACACTTGTAGTTTCATGTCTTGTTACATAAGAATAGACCATATTTGTTTGGTGTTATTATGGGAGAATTGCTGCCTTATTAACCCCATATTGAGCATATTAAGACCCAAACTCATGTACAACAACTTCCTTACTTACAATAAATAATCACTAATAAGAGGGTTATTAAGGAAAAACTCTTAACTGGCCTATTACTTGTAGAATAAGGCATTAATACATGTTTTATAATGACTAATAAAGAGCCAATATACTGCTAATATGCATGTTAATTAACAACTAGTTGATGGTGAATATGTACCTTAATATAAAGTGTTACTGCATTTGTTTACATTTCTTTATTGTATGAATAACCATTAGGGTTGTTAAACCTGAGTGGAGGCCTCTGGGTCAAACCAATGTGAATAACTGTGTTAGTTTGAAATGATACATCACAGAGTCTAATGATTCAGTTAATCTCAAAGGTTTTATTTGCTTTGTCTCATACACTGCCATCACAACTCAAACTCTCATAAGGTAAGCTGTCTCTGGGCTGACTGTAGCCTATTATTTCACAGTCCTGAGGGATCTTTATAGAGTAATAAGCAGTCAAAATAAATTGTGATTATATAAATAATACGCTTTATTAGTTTAACAAGGTACCTAACAAGGTAAAAACAGCAACAGAAACAGTATAAACAATGACATAACAAAAATATCATGACATAGCAACAGTATAAAAATAATTTCATTAGAGGAATTACAACTATGAAGAAGGGGGATGGATTTAAAAAGGTTGCGAGTGCAGTTTTGAAAAAGGACAAGAGGAGATGACAGAAATAGAAGAAATAAATGAAGGCAATGTTAACAAATCTACAGTGGTTTAAAGTCAATAAAAGCCTTTTTCACAGCAGACATTTTGACCTGTCATAGCAAATAAAAAGCACAGGTGTTACCAATTACATTAATCATGGCTCTGTTCCATTCAAGTGGGCCATAAGTAATTACAGTGTGACAGCGAACCAGCATGCACAATACCAGGACCCTGAAAGTGAAAAAGCTAAATGGAATCCATCCATCAATCAATTAATAAATTACACCTGTACTTAACCTACTGTAACTGAACAAAAATATGTGACAAGTAGGCTACTGGCTTTGCCCAATGGCTGAAACAATATATGACTGAAATGCCTATTTTACTTGGAAAACCCAAACATAGGTGAGTAATATGCTTGCTTAGAAGCAATTTAGAAATACATAGGCAGTGGCTCAGTCAGTAGTCCGGCAGTGGCTCAGTCAGTAGTCCGGCAGTGGCTCAGTCAGTAGGGGATTGGACTGTGAGCCGCAGGGTCGCCGGTTCAAGTCCCCGACCAGACCAAAAAAATGGAGTGTGGACTGCTACTTGGAAGAGGTCCCAGTAAACCTCCTGCCCTGCCGTGGTGCCCTTGAGCAAGGCACCGGACAACCCCCTTCCCCCCTCACTTCCATTGCTCCCAGGGTGCTGCCCACTGCTCCTAGTACTAGACTCCTGGTACTAGGATGGGTTAAATGCAGAGGCCAAATTTCACTGTGTGTGCTGTGTGCTCTGCATGTGTGACCATTAAAGAGGGTTTCATCCCTCCCAATATTATTATTATTAGGCTATGTCTTTGTTTGGGTATTGTACACCAACTTTGTGGAGGGCATCAGTGTCTTGATAACCGCTACATGGGAGCAGCTAACATTAGCCTCACACACGGCAGATTAAAAATCATATTTCCTTGCTTAAAATGTGTTAATACTTGTTGCCAAGAAGAGAATTAGTTATTTTATTTCGGAAAAGAGCTGAAACTGTAACAACTTAGCCAAACGGACGTGTGTTTTTGGGGAAGATGTTGCATAGCTTGGGGACCTTTAAGTGTTTATAGCTAGCCTACATTTTCTACATGACTGAGTTTTGGAACTTTCTATTTCTTTTTACTACGAGTCCTACTTGTTTTTTTTGCGACAAATGCTGACTTCCTAAAGTATTTTTTTGTTTAATTCCAGCTTATTAAAGTGTGCATTATAAATCAGAAATGGCATGTCTTCAGTTCTGCTGCGTACTTTACATATCATTTATTTGAACCCCAGCGGTGCGCTCAGCCACGTTGGGCTCGTGGAGGATGCTCACCCTGGGGGCAGAGTACGAGGACACCTGGGCTGTGTCACCTGACCGGAGGGCCGGCCCCTGTCTCCAGCGGGCAGAGGGAGAGCCGGGGCCTGTGGAGGGAGAGGACCCCTGCTCTGGAGACCCGGAGGGCCCGGTGTGGAGAGCGGACACGGTGCAGAAGTATGACTCGGTGTTACACCTGGAGGACCAGAGCAGAGCGGGAAGAGGAGACGGTGTGCGTCAGATAGTCCGGAAGCACGAGACGCTGAACAGCACACCATGGCCTCGCGGGTGAGATTTAAAAACATTTGAACTAAATATTAAGCGATACAACTTGTACTTTTAAGCAGTGGTGGCAAGTAACTAAGTACATTTACTCAAGTACTGAACAACATAAGTACAATTTTGAGAGACTTGTACTTTACTTGAGTATTCTAAAGTTGTGCTACTTTATAGGCTACTTCTACTTCACTACAATTCAGAGGTAAATAGTGTACTTCTACATTTATTTGATATATTTTGTTAGTTTGCATAATTTGGAATAATGATGTGATATGCAGTATGTTCAACACTTAAATAAGACTTTAGTTACACTTGGATTAACATTCACAAGATACTCTGCATACAAAGTGATTAAAACTATCTGCACCTTTACCAGCTTTGATAACACTTTAATGATCAATCATTATAATCAACATATATTATATTATTCTGAAATGGGCCAATCTACAGAAATTATGACTTTTTACTTTTGGTAGGCTAATTTAAGTATATTTTGATGCTAATATATTTTTGAATGCATGACTTTTACTTGTAACAGAATATTCTTACACTCTTGTACTTGTACTTTGACTTAAGTACAAGATCTGAGTACTTCTCCCACCTCTGCGTTTAAGCATGTACAATGGACAGAAAGATAATAATAATAATGCTTAAAGATCAAGGAATACGATTTAGTTAACTGCAAGCCCCTACCCTTTTCTTGCCTCATTACAATGTGTACACTGTTTCTGTGCTGTATTTGTCCTGCTTCATAGGTCCTGCATAGACTATTATTCACACGTCATATTTGTGTCAATCATAATTTTGAAATAATTAACATAACTGAAATAATAAAGGTATTTAAAACAGATTTGGACACAGGAAACCTCTTCAAGATTATTATCATAATGTGTTGGTGGTCAAAATTCTCTACCCCCTTTTTTAATTAAATTGACATTGACAAAAGTTGCCCCTCTTTGTCAAGTGAGTATTGGCGCCTCGTAAATAAGAAGATTGATCTTTGTGCTAAATTGTATGCAATGCAAATTACAAGTTTTCTCACTATATGATATTTGCCAATATCACAGTCTGCCGATGCTGATTCTGTTTAATTAAGCGACCTTGGATCAGTATGAGACAATATCATACTAATCTTTAATACAAATAATTCAGATATTGTGATAAAGACAATGATAAGTTTCAATGTTATTTACTGTGCTTCAAACATATTGGATTCCTGATAATCTATTTTTCTCATACTGTTTACAGGATTTGCATAACCAACTGCAGTTCATGGATATTTGTTATTGGGAGGTTTATTTCCAAGGCAGCTTTATTATCTCCACATCAGTGTCTTCCTCAATATCAGCACAGGACAAGAAACATAATACAGTGCTCTTGTGTTATTTGTGCAACACATTAGCTGAACCACTAGATGGCTCCTCAGCCAGAGCGTTTGTTTCAGAGAGCTATAGATATTCTGGCCAAAAGTATGTAGACACCACGAACACTTCTGAGACCGAGTTCACCCATGGTGTCATTTTGAATCTTGAAACAAAATACCCTGGTAGCTTTAAATTTAAGAAACCAAGTGAAAATGTTTGATTTCACATTTGAATGAATTTCTAAATCTAATTTTGTAAAAGCAAAACTATCCTCTCCGGTAAACGCCACACCCTTAACACACCAAATGCAATTAAGGTTTGTCTAAACAAGCTCTTATCTATATTAATAGTGGTCTTAATAATGGTCTTAATATTTGTGTGAGTCACTGTAGTCCCTATCAACAGAGCTTGTTTATTTACTTCCTTCCTATGATCAATAACCTTTGATTGATATATTCAGAAATATAATAGTTAATAAAAAAAAAGTAGACCAACTTATTTTTCTTTTTTAAATATAATTTTTGCTTTGTAAATGCATACATGTATGGCATATATTTTGGCATGCATGGGTAAAGGGTTGCCACTTGTTTCTACATGAAGGGTTTCAATGAGGTAATAGGAAAGGAGAACATTTTTTGGTTAGGCATTATATTTGTATTAGTTGGCTTTGTGTGACCCAAAACTGTTAAAAGCTTATGTTAAAACAACACAAGGGTTAACACTATATACATATATGAAAAGAAAACTGATGTTGAAACAAATGGTGTATATATATTTATTTACACAATATAATTGTTTTTTCATTTACTGGAGGGATACTTAATTGACCCAGAGGGAAATCTGTATCCGGTAGCTTATACAAATACACAGGAATAAAGAATGAAACTGTGAAGTATAATGAATAGAATAGAATCATTTAATGTCATTATATATGTACAATGAAAGAAAGAAAAGCTTCTCCCTTTTGAAAGGTGCCATTAAAACAAAAACATCACAACATACGACAACAAATACACACAGCATACATACTTATGTAAGAAATAAAGAATTAAGTGCAGTAATTATTTCCAGGGGTATACAATGTAATAAATAATAATAGGTATGTATTTATAATAATGATATATTTGTATAGCCACCATCACTACAGAAAGAGTATGTGCTAATAATGGAGGTATTGTTTTGCATGTATGTTGATTGAAGTAATTACAACTGTGTTAGACTAATTATCCCTAATTGAATAATTAACAACCTTTTTTATTCATAGGCAGGAAGTGTATTCTTTCTACAGAGCTGTGTGCAAACAACTGTCATTCGTTCCTCACAACTTCCTGTCAAAAACATTCAGATTTTTACTTTCAGATGTTTTTATCTTCACACATTCTGCGATCACTTAGAAGCCATATATATCTTGTGATGCAATGCAATGTCTTCCATACTGTGCAGACATCACGTTTTTCCCTAGATGACGCTAAAGGAAGGATTGATAAACTCTTGTTCTGACCCTCAGGGCTTTAGTGATCCTCATCAGTTGCCCAGACTCTCTTGCGAGCAGCCAGCACACGGTGAGCGCGTCTGTGCGCTCCACTCACTGATAGGCTCGTGTTGGTCACATGCGCTCTTCCTTGTTCCACGGAGGACTTGCTTTATAGCCCTCAGCCCACATACAGCGAGCGATCAAACAGAAATCACAGGACTGCTCGTGTTGGATTGTCTTTTTAATGCTTTTAACTGGGGGAAAGAAAAGGAATTCCAGTGTTTTTTTAATGCTCACTGACACCTGATCGCTTCAACTGGTGTTTGGATGCTGACGCGATGCTGTCAGGGGTTTGGACAGAGACAGGGTGATGTGATTTCAGCGTGATTTTCTTTTATTTCTCAGAACACGGCCGCTATGGATGCAACAGCCTCAGCGAAGTGATTCCATATAGGCTACAGCTAAAGTGTTTTTATTGCTTTAAACTTTTCCATGTCCCCGAAGATGAGTGAATGGAAAGGATCCAGAGAACATGGTTTTCTATGAGACCACCCTATTTTTCCTTTCCCAAACGCAGCGCTTTCTGTACCCTCTGAGCTGTGCTTTGGATGAAGTGTGTTTGTTGTGATGCGTCTCCCCTCCATTTCCACTGACACCAGTTTGGATTTACCCTTTTGGATCTGTTCGTTTCCAGGATGCCTCGCTTCGCAGAAGATCTGCCCACCCGCTATGGAGGAGGCGCAGGCGGTGGAGGGAGAGGCGGACCGGGCGCCGGGAGAGGGGGAGCCCGGGGTGGCGGCGCTCCGGGCGGCCCGAGGGTGTACAAGCAGTCGATGGCCCAGAGAGCCCGGACAATGGCCATATACAACCCTAACCCAGTCAAACAAAACTGCTTCACTGTCAACCGCTCCCTCTTCATCTTCCGCGAGGACAACCTCATCAGGAAGTATGCAAAGCGAATAACAGAGTGGCCATATCCTTTCTGAGCACCGTGCGCACCGAGCAGGTGCATGTGTAACCCGGCTGTCCCTGCCTGGCAACCCCACACAGATGGTTAGAAAGCAGAAACACACCACCGCCCGCAGGCCTGTTTGTCAATCTGTTGTGTTGATTATATTCAGTGGATTCTCTTCCTGTTGCTGTTGAATGAGCAGTTATTTTCACAACGTGGAGCAGCTTCCACACTGTCATTATGCCTCTCCGCGCAACGCTGCCCGCACCTGTCGCTGCGCTGCTTATCTGCCTCAGCCTGACACAAAGATGTGTCCTGAATAGGTGCGGGGTTAAAAAGACTTCACATCCGCCCTTTGTGCTGCCTTTCCCAGTTCTAGGCGTGCGCATCGAGTGATAAGTTATTTTGTCAAAATGTGAGCTGTAAACTGTCCAGCAGCAGCCCCAGCGTCACTTAATGACGACCAAACATCGCTATTGATCCACGCAACTAGAAGTCAATAAAAAGCTGCGTGCGTAAAAGGGCAGTGGTAAGAAAGTGCTGTGGCTGCGTGCACCGCCTGACCTCCACTCGTCGTGCCCTCCGGTCATGAAATCTTAAGAAAAGGCTTGGTTTGTTTTTGTAAAAATAAGAGACCGCTGGTCCAGGGTTGCAGCTCCGCCTCGTTGTGTTCGTTAGGAGCCCTCTCCATGGTGCTGCGCCCACGCAACTCTTTCAGAGCTGCAAAACAATTCCACTTCAACAGTCATGGTCACCCTTCAAATCTGCGTATCTTCACTGTTAAAATAAGTGAAAGATTCTGCTAGGGTAATATTATTCAGCGTAACTTTGGCCGGTTTTATCTATTGCAAGATGGGAAAACTGTCAAAATCTTTATATAAGGTTAAATCCACAATAGCAGCCTCCAAGGACCATTACATTTAAAAGTGGTCTGAAAACAAGTACAATAATCCCAGTTAATAAACATTTTTATGATGAAAAATAAATAGGCGATTTTAAAAATAATAAATGTTATCAGTAAAATGGCTTGGGCTGGAAAGCTAGAGCTTGTATGACAAAAAACAAGAAGACAGCAAGAGCAGCACTATGGGTGATGATGAACAACATTAGCTGTCATTGAATAACAATGACTATCAATTTACATGATGCAAGTTTAACTTCCTATTCCAAGAGACAAAAAATTGAAAAAAAAAGACAGGAAACAAAAAATCCTAACATAAGTCATCATACTGATTGTTTATCTTTTGAACATTCACTGTCGGGAAAACACTGTTCTGGTTGTACAATCAGGCTGGGTACTAATTCTACCTCTTGGCTGTAATGGTCATAAACTCCGTATTCCCCTCGCGATTCACAGGCTCTCAATAGGCCCTGGCCCGCGGGCAATGACCCAGTGAAAATGGATTGCAGAATGAGCCAACCATTGAAAATGGTTTGGAAATGGTCAACCATCTGGAAATATGATGGGCGCATGTATAGGACGCTTTCTTTCTGGGAAGCCTTGAAACACAGCCTGTGGAAGGTTTATGCTTAAGTGGAAAGAATACGTCCAAATTAATGGCATTTTGCATACAGCAACATGGATGATAATTAGCTTGATGTTAATGTTGTCTGTCATGATTAGGCACCTTATTTTATTAGATTGAGAATCACCAACCTTGATTGGTTACATTTATCCTGGTAATCATTGCATATGAAAATGTATAGTCAATGATTTGAGCTGTGAAATGAAATGAATGCAACTTTCTCTCTGTCAACATTTCCTTAACTCTCTCACTCCATTTGAGTACATGATCCTAGCTACAATTATCGCCAACTGCATCGTCCTGGCCCTGGAGCAGCATCTACCTGAACACGACAAGACGCCCATGTCAGAACGCCTGGTAAGTGCTTCCACTTGATGACCTCACCTCCTTTAGACCGATAAAGTAATCAGAGTTAACCCCAGTTAAACAGATTTGTTTCTATTTTATAAGCTTTGTTGGTCAGCAGAAGCTTTCACTGAGCTAGCCTATTCCCCAGCTTCCCAGTTCAAACAAACATTTAAACTGCAAGAGTCACGTCACATAGCTAACCAGTATCAGAGAGAGCAAACCAAACAGACTGCAACACTGGGAGGTCAAGAGGCAACTCCCGCCTGGCGTACCGGGGGGAAAAAACAAACAACGCAAATAGCACGTAGCTTCATGGTTCAGCACTTTGCTCTTCTTGTTCTTAAGGGTGTCGTAGCTTAGGGAGTTTGCCTTTAAATAGGAGCCAGAGTGTTACAAAGAGCAACAGCTTGATGTTTAAAAGTCAATGATTTCCTCTCGAAAACCCACTCCTGTTTTTAATCGTCTCAGCAGCTGCAATGCAAATTCAGCAGTGAAGATGTTAACAACTCGGAAAACAAAAAGGTAGCATTCATCACCTGAAAAAGGGATTAGAGTGGCTACACAAAGGAGTAAACAGGCTTCCTGTCGCTGCCTCCTCCACCTCGAGCATGTAATACAACAAGAAGCCTTTTAATTAGAACAAGGGATCAGCTATTATTTATGAAGCTCTGTCAACAGAGTAGGAGGCGTACTGTAAGTGGAGGCGATGATAGAAGCTATTCAGCAAGGGTATTTCAGATCCATGGCTGATCTTAAGCACCACGATCTTTCGGGATATCCCCAGCCGTTTTATGCAAGCGTATTCATAATTCAGGAGTATTTTAGATGTATGTATAATAGATGTTAACACACTAGTAGTACAGACATTTATCCAGGCAGCCCTCCAGCCCTGTCATTACATAACAGATTAAATTGTTTTGTCTGAGTCTTGTCTTTGTATTTCATGCCAAAATGAATATACTGTACGACATTGAAAGCTTGATGTGAAACGTTGCAGGCCCCTACAGCTTCTCTTATTGGCCAGGATCAGTATATCTGCTTCTCAACAATAACAAACTGTCATTATTTTACCACCGCAGCCTTCACGCATGAAACAGCATCTCTGGTCCAACAAACATTATCTCTTGGATGTGCACCGCAGTCAGCCAGCTCCATAGAAAAGGTCACGTTTCTCATAGTGCTCGAGCCTGTCACACTGCTTTTACGTGATTATTTATGTTGCAGACCAAGTGATGCTGGGGGTTGGGGACACTCTCTGTCAGGTTGTAGTATGCTGGGAACGAGGGTGGAAAATCGCGGGGGAGAGAGAGGTTAATGTAGGCGTGAGATATCTTCTGCTCATGTACATCGCCCCAGGCTTTTGCAGATAATAATGGAGGCAAAGGAAAAAGTGTCATGTCATCCACGCTTGATCAATTTCCCTTACTTACAGAAAGGCCCGGGATTAACCTAGGCACATAGTGCAAATGATAAAACTGTGACACTTTTAGGAGATGACGCAGAGTGCCCCAATCAATCATGTCCAGTCATGTGTGTTGTGCATATTCTCTCACTGCCAAAGAGCTCTTTCAAACTGGAATATCGTTGTACTATTGGGATAATGTGCTTTTGATTTGCCCTGATTTCACACTAGAGGGGCACTTCTGGTCACTCAAGGTACCTCCAAATTTCATTATGCCTAATTTTTTGTCTTAATGTCACACCAGAGTGGCACTTGAATAATGCAAATGCCTTTCTGGCTGTTCAAAATGTTGCTGAAGTGTGTTTTTGTTCGGTACACATGCCCTTTTGGTTGAGCCAAATGCTTAATTTTTACCCCTATGGTTGCAACAAGAGGCCCTCAAGTTCCCTGTGGTCGCTCCAATTGCCTGCTAAATTCCTTGCTTCATTTTTCTCACAATGATTAACCACAGGGGCACTTCAATGTCCCAAGTAACCCCCTAGTTGGCGTATGTACCCTTTTGGTTTGCTCCAAAACTTCCACTTGTAACCCAAATGGTCCTGTGTTTGTTCCTTCTGATGCTCTAGTCGTTCCCAAGTTCCTCCCTCCGTCCTTTTTGTCCAAACATCACACCAGACGGGCAATTGACCCTAATAAACCCTCACCCCCAAAAAATGATATTCTCCATGTATGTTAAATAATACGTTTTAAAATATTTAGCGTTCATGAGGCTCCTTTGAGTTAGCATTGCCCTTAAGATCATACTGTGTGTGTGAATATTTGTTTTCACTGTATTTACTCTCTTTTCATCCAAAGAAGCGGACTGCACTTCTGTTCATGCTTCTGCAAGAAGTGAAAGAAGACGTCTTTCTTTCTTTGCCTTACCCCCCTCTCATTCCCTTAACGCTTCATTGACCCCTCTCTGACCTCAAACAAAAAGATCTTCCCCTGTAACTCTCATCCTCTCTCTGTCTTTCTGTAGGACGACACAGAGCCCTACTTTATTGGAATATTCTGTTTCGAGGCCGCCATTAAGATCATCGCCCTGGGCTTCGCGTTTCACAAAGGCTCCTACCTCCGCAACGGCTGGAATGTAATGGACTTCGTGGTCGTCCTCACGGGGTGAGTCCCTCGACCGCTGGTGGTCCGAAGTGAGAGAGTGGTTGCTTTTGTGTGTGTCTGAGTGCATCGAGAGAGAGAGAGAGAGAGAGAGAGAGAGAGAGAGAGAGAGAGAGAGAGAGAGAGAGAGAGAGAGAGAGAGAGAGAGAGAGAGAGAGAGAGAGAGAGAGAGAGAGGTTTGTGAAATCAACCTCTTCCAGTAAAAGGGTCTGCCTACTAGCATCAACACAAATCAGGAAAATATGTGTCACAAGGAACATCTGTTGCTTTAGCCTTTGCATATCGCTCCTTTTTAGTGGACTACACTACATGGACACACTGTATGGCTTTCAATCTTCCTGATTTGGTCAGAGATTTTACGTAATAATTTGTAAAATAACATTTATTTTCAAGAGAATGTGAAACTTTTGTCTCAACAACCATACACACCTCTTGGCAAATTGAGAGTACGATTACGTTTTGTATTTGATAAATGGTTTTCAGCAATAGGTATATGTTGACACTGCAACTCATTTGACCACAGAGTTCTGCAAAATATGCTTTTGTAGTTCCTCTTAGCAGGGCTTCCACAAAAGTGTATGTCTCGCAGAGAAGCTTGGAGACATGCAATGGCCTGTATTTCTTATTATCAGAAAGGTGTCCTGGAAAGTCAATGACAGAGCAATGGTCAGGTCAATTGTTCTGTGAGAATACTGCTGGGAGTCCAGTATAGGCAGCCCTGAAGATATGACTGTGAGGCGGTATGATGCTCCTTCTCTACTTTTAACTATCCATGGCAATCAGAAGGTTGTCAGCCTAAAGGAGGTTTTTCAACTGAGCTTATAATTCCTCCACCTCCTGTATTATTCTGAGAGCCCTTATTTTATTGTTTAAAGAGACAACAATCACACTGTCCTGTGAAGCCATTTAAAACTGGTAACCATAATCTTTAACAAAACAATCTGTGGAGTGAAGCTGGCACATTTAGAGCGTTAAGATTATCACACGGTTGCGATATGTTGATCTTTTGTCACCAGGGCACCCTCACCTCTTTCATCGGAAGGTGCATCCTGATGATACTGAGTTTTTCCTTCTATAGGGACGCATGAATTGCTCGATGGATTCAGAACGCTTTGTATCATTGGTCCCATTATAGTTTACACTGAGGAAGCCGTCCTTTTTAGTTTAACCCTTGCTCCTCTACACCTCTGAATGCATGGTGAAAATACCAACAGTGGCTTCCTCAACAGCTACCACCTCATGAAGCACCTTACAGAAGCTTGGAAAGCTCTCAATCAATGTTGACGATGTCACTACTGACTCCCACTGCTGGACAAACCATTAGATTTTTACCTTGGATGGATTACAATGGAAAAGTAGTCCATGAATCCACTCTTATCATGTCCCCCTCCACAGCCTGAATAAGTCATACACAGTCAGAAATGTGCCTGATTCATCCAGGTTCACTTGATGCTAACAGTAATTGCTCTGGTACCTTGAGCAGATGAGTATTGTACTGCCTTATTGCTTTGTGGGGACCAGATTGGATTTGAGCTGTAAATAGTGTCCTGTTTCAGAAGGTCAATATGCAAATAAATCAAGGTGTGTATTGAAAGAGGAACAGAACAAAGATTAGCAAGTGTGATGAGAAAAGCAGACAACATATATACAACTGAAGAGAGGGAAAGAGCTAGATTGATTACCTTGTCATATTTTCTTTGGATTCCTTTTGTAAATACATCTTTCATTTTAAGCCAACACACAGAAAGCTGGTGCTCAAAATTACATTTCTTCTCCTGTTTCAAGCCCCTGCCAGCACAATAACAGTTCAGAGATGCGCTTTTCTTTTTCTTTCACACAGAGCATAAGTGGGAATATGTGTGTTTGGAGCTGTGATTGGACTTAATGTTCCCCTGCAATACCTACACACAGTGGTAGAATTGTGTGAGGAAGATGAAAGAAGGCTTTCTGTAAATCTGGAGATCACAGGCACATCTTCATGGCACATTGCTTTGAGCAAAACACTTGAATTCCACCATCTTCATGTGGAAAGAGGCTTCAGCTGCTTTCAGTGCCGACACCTTGGAGATCAATAGCCTGACAGCAGTGGTTCTCAGCCTTCTGCGTCACATTTCAAGGTTAAAAACAAGAGGCGTCATCATTATGTTCTCATGCATAGGAAGTCATTTAAATCATTGGTAGCCAATTAGATGATTGGATATTGAATTTAAAGGATGTTAATATTTTGTTATTTACTGGGTGTCTAAAAACCTCTTGAGAAGCTAAACCAGGAGAAATAGCTCTTCAGTTTTGACTACCCGTTGCTGACACAGCTGGATACAAATTAACCATTATGTTGTGTGTGTGTGTGTGTGTGTCTCCGTTTGGTTGCCAAGCGACCATGGTAGACAATGTGCCTCTGCCTGATCGGGTGTTTCTGTGTGTATGTGAGTGACGCTGTGTTTGCTTTGTGCTCGACATGCTCCTGGGGGATTGTGGGGGGGGGGGGGGGGGGGGGGGGAAGGTGTCCGGCGCCGGGCACACATCAATACGAGATCAATCAGATCACCACTGGGTCGCAGTATGAGAAACATCTGATCCTTGGAGAAACCGTCCCGATGGCAGAGTGATAAAAGGAGGAGAAGACATTTGAAGCATGTGCTCAGATGTGCAGCCTCCCTAAGTGAACTTAAGAGGATTAGAAGGACTTTACTGCGCACCTGGGTGTTCAAATCTGCTCCAGCTTTGTCCTGTGTTCTCCACACCGGGGAGGAGCCGCCTGCAGGACAGAATTACTCATCACACTTAAGTTGGTATAAAAGAAAAGCTCATAACTCGGTAAAGATATTCGGAGTAGCAACAGAATAATAAATGGTGAGCGAGAAACCCTTAGGAACGTTAACACTAATGCAGTTATCAATCAATGCATGAATAATGGATCAAAAATACAATCAAAAGTGATCGTTGAGGGTTTTTATTGATCTAACTGGTCAGAAATCTAATTTAAGATACACTCTGTGAATATGTGGCCGTGGATCTGCTATGACTGCTTTACTTGATATTTAAAATATTAAGCTCCATTAATCTTTATGGACATATGACATATATCCTTTTTTTTCAAATATCTAAGAATCAGTGCTAATTCTCCGCCTGTTAGTGCTTAGGATAATTATGTGGATACAGCCATCCGATCCTAATGAAAGGATCCAAATGATAGTGTAGCTGGAGGCAGTGGCAGACCTTCAATCTGTCCTGATCAGGCATTAGGAGCCCCTAATAAGAGAATCAATCTGTCAAAGGCCTAATCAATAGAACACCGAGCCGGCCAGCCCAGGAACAGAGCGTCGTGATGAGGAGCCAGGCACGTCCAATCACACGCTGAGCATGACGCCGTCTGACATAAAGAAACTGCGTGAGTAGCATGCTCTGCTCTCAAACCCATTTTCTTTTCTGGAGCATATAGAACATTTGCCAGTATGAAGCATCGTGCTCGCAGAAACTGGGTGATCATGACTCAGTGGCTGAAAATGTTATAAAAAAGTCCAAGAGGGAAAAGATGAAATGACTCACATTTGTTCTAATTTCAAAGGCTAAACTTAATAGGAGTCCATTTAGTCTGGTTTCCTCCAGAAACTAGGAGAGGCAGTTTAGGTTACATATTCTTCCTTTAAGCCAGGAAGTAAAGTGGTTTCTTACGTTCTTGAAATGTTGCCATCAGTCACCAAGCCAAGAAAGTGATTTATAATACTTTCTACCATGGCCAAGGGGCGTTATTAGGTGTGATTGACAGTTTGTAATATCTTCTGTGGCTCCTGAGAAACTCTGCGTCTGAGAGAAAATCTCCTGGGTTCTCATACACGGCTCGTACTCTTACATACAAAGAGTGATGCGTTATAAACTGTGTCAAATTCAAGTAATCAATTTCATACGCAACAAAGTACTCGTGAGCCAGGGAAGGTGACGGGTAGTATATAGCTGTAGCAAAAACCCAGGGCTAAAGTATATATTTCAAACATACATATTTGATCTCACGTGGTAAATCTTTACTTTAAAATTCAATGTAAAACATACTGTGTATATTCATGCTCTGTGTGTTGTATGTCACTGTGTAGGCAGATGTGTGAGGGTATGTAAATGTACTGACGAATGGATCAATTGAAAACTGATTAATATGAACCTTTTTGCAATTCAACCCCCTTTTTAAATCACATTGTGAGGTACAAAAAAGATGACTGTCCAAAGCCCCTCGTACTTGTATTACTTGCCTGGCTGCAACTCCTTTGCTATAATACTTTATTATCCATTGAGACGTTCCACCTGGAGCAGGGCCATTTAGGCACTCACGCTTTTACAAATTAGAACATTCAGACATTTTTCACAAAGGATATCTAGAAGAAGCCAAAGATTGCTCGTACCTCATGGAAACATTTACATTGAGCTCAATACAAATACATTTAATTTAATTTAGGTTTACATACATTTCAAGTCATGTAATATGTCCCCAAATGCTCATGTATATGCTTTATTGTGTGTCAGTGACAGCTCAATGGCTCTACATTTAACCCCCCCTGGCTCTTGGCCTTTTATTGCTGTTATTGACCAAAGCCTCCAATGGCCTTTCACTCGCCTTGAAAACTCTATGGCAACGGCAACCTAAGGCTGCCGGGTGAACTCACTGAGAACAATAATCCCGCTGTCATCTCCAGCGTAACAAAGGCCAGGGCAGTTGTTTTTATTTATTTTTGATTCACGGGTCTCGGGGCTGTAAGTGGTCGGGGCGAGTGTCTGCGCTTGTGTGTCGACTTCAAAGTTGTGATTTCCTTTCATGTGCCTCTCTGGCGGCGGGGCGACCACAATAGGCGGCCTCAAAGTATAGTCGCGGAGACTACAGAGGTCGGATCACTTTAGCTTATGCCCCCGCCCGGCAGGATAAATAAACGCTCCCTTTGAAGGTCTGCCGACTGTCTGACCGCCCACTGGTCTGACAGCCAGGCCTTGGTGAGCGTGTCAATGTCTTTGCTGTA